GTTTTTCTTTTCTTTTTTGAGGATTTTAAATCATTAGAATTTACCTTTTGGTGTGAAGTTCAGGCTTACAAGTTGTTTTTGGGATGCATTTCTTCCCTGACTTTTGTTAGAGTTCGCAACACATAACACAAAGAACTAGCCAGTGTACTTTTTTACATTTGGGTTCGATTAGCTTTGCCAGCAGTTACTGTCGAGGTTGTCTTTTATGAATGTGGTTAAATGTTTTTGTGTTACATCAAGGGTGGGCAACCAAAGGCCCTCAGGCTGTATGCGGTATCATTGAAGTGCCACACGGGACTTGTATAAACACAAATGTTCTCTTTGTAGGTGGCTTCAGCAAGTTCCAAGCCGAGTTCCCCAATCTGTGCGAGACCAACCTGGACGGGTCCTCTGACAGCAGCCCCCCTTCTACGCAAGTCTTGGGCCTGGGTGGCCTGCGCATCAGCTCAGACTCGTCAGACATCGAATCGGACGTGGACCCGAGCAGCGCCACCGACTCGGACGGCAGCCCTTGGTGCAACCCGCAGCCGTCCTTCCCCGTGGAGATCCTGCCCCACTTGTATCTGGGTTGCGCCAAGGACTCCACCAACCTGGACGTGCTGGAGGAGTACGGCATCAAGTACATCCTCAACGTCACGCCCAACCTGCCCAACCTCTTTGAGAACGCTGGCGAGTTCAAGTACAAGCAGATCCCCATCTCGGATCACTGGAGCCAGAACCTGTCGCAGTTCTTCCCCGAAGCCATCAACTTTATCGGTAAGTTTAGTGCATAACTCCAAATTGACACGGACAAAATTTGTTGCAAAAAAAAAAAAAAAAGTACGTTGTCACTGGCCAATGAAACGCACTCATCTCCAAAGTTTTGTCTGAAACAAACACGGCCTTTCTCCACGAAAAACTGAGCCTAATGTGGACTTGAGCGGGTTTTTTTTTGGGGGGGGGGGTGTGTTGACGTTCCTGCTTGTTTTGTGTTCGCGTAGCCTATTACTGCTTGCCTTTCCGTGACAACGGCATCATTTGGGCCGCGAAAGGCAGCCGGAGTCATGAGGGTGCTGTCAAGGCTCACAGGATGTCAACAGGGCCTGTAAATGGCTCCTTTTGTTCATGTAATTGGGCAAGGGGTGGGGGCGGCGGGGGCATGTCCTAGATTACTTTCAATAGCGCTTCCTTCCTGTTCCGCTCAAATTACCGTCCGGCTTGTTGCTCTCGGGTTTCGGTCGAGACCTTTTAGTGCGACTCTTACACAAGAGCCCACGCTAGTGTAACGCGGGAGCGGGAGCGGCTGCGGCGCTACTGATCATCTCCACCACTTCCCTCAGTGCTGATAAGAGGCCAGCGTGTCAAAGACACAATGTTCCTGAACATACAGTCCATTCAGCAAATGGAACTAAGAAAAAAAGCAAACGAGGACAAAGCGACACAAGCAACACATTAAATAAGTACATCAGCCACTACAGTGGACTACAGTTGATGTCAGCTTTTGGATAGCTGTCCACTGTAGTGACTGATGACGAATTTCATTAAAAAAAAAAAAATATCTGTGGCCAATGACATCAAAACAAATGTTCATGGGGGGAGAAAATGGTCACCATGACAAAAGCAACTAATTGCATACACAAGGTAACTTATTGTGTTCCAAATCATTGAAAGGACATCATTTAAAAGCATTTACGAAACAGAACAAAAGACATTTAACAGCAGAGAAATGAAACTCCCTTCGTCATATGATACAAAGTATATCGTAATTCCTACCAATGAAAACTTTGTGGTGACTGATGCCAGCAAGACTAATGCACACCTTCGAAACTTTCTTCTCCTCAAGAAATTGCTTTTATTGCGAAATGGCTGTCCACTGTCGTAACTGATCACCTCACAGCTGATTCATATTGATTGGCCGTCCAGCAATACTGACTGATGACATCAAAATGAATGCACATTGAATAAAAGCTTTTTGAAAAAAAATGTGTCTGAAATTAAAAATGGTCGACTGTAGCGATTGATGAAACGAAAAACGACATCTGTCCAATAAAACGGCTTCGAAAAAAATCTGAGAATAAGAACCGTGTTTTTTTTCCCACCCTTGTAGTGACTGATGACATCCTGGCGACTGCACATCCAATAGAATTAACTGCCTTTCAATGTTTTTTTAATTTAAAATTCGATTTTGATTTGGGGGGCAAAATGTTGATGACCGAAACACAAAACCGTATTCCATATTAATGAACCTCTTTTGTCATTGCAGACGAAGCTCGGGGCCAACACTGTGGCGTGCTGGTGCACTGCCTGGCCGGCATCAGCCGCTCGGTGACTGTGACGGTGGCCTACCTAATGCAGAAGTTGCAGCTGTCCATGAACGACGCCTACGACATCGTCAAGACCAAGAAGTCCAACATTTCGCCCAACTTCAACTTCATGGGACAGCTGCTGGACTTTGAACGCACGCTGGGCCTCAAGAGCCCGTGCGACAACCGTCTCGCCACCACCGCCGCCGTCGTCGCGCCGCCCAGCGGCCAGCCCCTCTACTTCACCACGCCCACCAACCACAACGTCTTCCAGCTGGACCCCCTCGAGTCCTCGTGAGCGGGCGGCGACAGGTGAAATTGTGAAAATTTGACGACGATCTCACGTCCTGCAAGGAGTTTTCTGCCCAACGCGGCCGGATGCGGGCGGCGGTCGCTATGAAGCCGGGAGGCGGTCCCTCCGATGACGTGCGTTCAAACCGGGCCGCCATTTTGAGTCATGGACTCAATCTGACTTTTGCGATCGTCTTCTATGAAGACACAAACTGGACACTCTTGTGTATATAGTTGTTGATTATGCCAAAAAAAAAAAAAACAATCAAAAAGCAGGATTTTCCATCAAGGTGTAATCTATTGCAGTGTCTTCCTAACCACATATGAGAAAAATGTCCCGAAAATGCATCTCCTGAAATAATATCCAATTTTCCTCACTTATTTACAGTGTGGCTCACAGGAGTAAAAGAAACATACGCATACCAAGAGCTTGCGTGCGAGGACCAATGGAGTAGAATAACACGTTCGTCATCAGAATAATTTCCGACAGTGTTTGGAAATCACTGCTGTGCAGGCCTTGTTTTTGCACCTCCACTCCCAGCAAATCAGTCCAGCTGAGGTTGCCTTATTCATTTCGCGTCCTCATGTGACCTTCTATGGGGACTGATGTTGGCGTGTGCGTTTGCGTGTGCATGTGGTGAGGGTCCCTGGAGGCGGCGTCTTTTTGGGGAGGGGGAGAAAATGTGATGATGAGATTGTGGATGTCTCCCTCCTTCCTCCTATGAATGTAAAGATAAGTTATTAATAAATGGATATTTTGTCTACGAAATACGCTGTACTGTGTTGTGTGTCTTTGCCGCCTCGCTGCCGGAAACAGTCCAGACTGGTTCGCCCAGGTGCAAAGTTGTTTTTTTTTTGTTTTGTTTTGGGCAGACCCTCAGGCATTTCCCTTGAGACATCAAAGCATGTTTGCGTGACGGACGGAGAGGAACTTAAACGTGTGCTCGCACGCGAGTGCCCACACACTCACCTAAAGTGTCCTAAAAAGTTTTGAAAGTGGTCGCAGGGTTAAATTTAGTTTAGTTAACATGCAAATAAGCACCCCCGCAAAAAAAAAAATCTTCAATCGAGACATTCCCTTTGCAGTATTAGAGGTAAAGTTTCATTTTAAGTTAATGTTTTTTTCCAATGTAAAATCTTTTTTTTTCTAATGTGTTCAAATTTAATGTGATTAAATATAATAGTTTCATTTTTGCTGACAAATACAAGGCAGTTTTTAAAGATGGTTTTATATTTATTTTTATGGAAAATTTTTAATGTGTATTATTCGATTTAATATTTTATTTTGCAATTCCTTATTATATATAATTTTTTGGTTAATTCACAGCTGAAAAAAATTCAAATTTAATCGCACAAAATGCAAACGTTTTAAAAGGTGATTTTATATTTTTGATTTTTATTTCAAATACTTTATTCTGAAATTTCATATCAAATGTTTTTAGATATTTTATTAATTTCATTACATAAAATATGAAACATGCTTCAGTAAAAAAAGGTACTTTTTGTACAAGCACCTATTTCACCCTTTTTTTTAAAAAAAAAATCTGTTTTAAAATGTTTCTTATATTTTGCATTTAAATGTTTCTCCTAATTTTTTATGGCAAAAATACAAAACCACTTTTGAAAGGTCAGCAGGTTTCGATGACAATCACTGGGAACACCAAGAGGAGAATAAGCCTGAACCACATGCTGCTTCACCAAGTCTCAAGCCAGACAGTCCACATTATGCAACCAATCAAAAATGAATATTTCAAAGTCAACTTTCCATTTTTGGGGGTGATGTTGCCGCCCCTTCTGCAACACACAGCGTCAATGTCATTTGTCAGGCACCTTTGTGGACGGCGACAGAGCGTCCTTGTCGGTTGGGTTCACCACGTGAGGAATAAGAAACGTTGCGATGGCGAGCTACTCATTGCTTTGGAAACATTTAAATGAGTGATGTACAAAGTTACACTTGTTACACATTGACGTCTGAGGTTATGTCACAGTGACAGCTTGAAATTTTCCATCCATGTTTTTTTGAAGCCCACTTTTTTTTTTACATTGTAGTTACTGTAATGCCCTCGCATGTGGGAAAGGAGAGCCACGGCATTTATTTAACACTGGGGGAAGAGTAAAACGATGTTGCTGACATCACATACGGCTTCAACAAGGCACCACCGACCAATCCCCCCCCCCGTGCCCCCACCACTACCTTGAAGGCACATGTGAGTATACAGACGCTACAATAATGTGAATGTTTTTTACATTATGTTTTTTGGGGGGGGTATATGTTCAAATCAGTTTACAATGTGTTGAAAACAGTTTTTGATGAATTTGAATGCCTTTAAAGTAAGATAAATGGGTTTCGCAAGTCCACGTGCTTATTTTTGAACTATGACGTCCACAAAACGTCATTAGCTGCCATGTTGCTTTGTTAAAAAAAAAAAAAAAAAAAAAAAAAAGCTTCTTTGTCTTTAGGTGTATGATGTTTACAAATACTTCCGACTTGTTTGTGAATGACTTCGTTTTTTTTTTTTTCTCACTTTGCTCTTTGGGAAATGATTACGCATCACAGGAAAAAAAAACAAAAAAACAGCACTAATGAAAAGTAAGAATTAATCACTGTGTGTGTGTGTGTGTGTGTGTGTGTGTGAGTGTGGGTGTTCATGAATCATTGTGTGTGTTGTTGTGTTAGACAACTAATGATTGACTGGTATCCACGGCTACGCCTTTCCAAAAACACTTAACGGAGCGTCATTGTGTGTCTTCATACTACATGTAACTTCACAAAATGACATTATAATGATGATTATTAATGCTACCTTTGATTTGAACAGTGCCGTACAAATGAGGGGGTGTGGGGGGTGTTGGGGGAGGCAGGGCGGTGGTTCCAGCACGATTATTATAGTCAACGAAAATTAAAATGTAAAAAAAAAACAAAAAAAAAAAACCAAACAAAAAAAAAACAGTTTTCGTCAACTAAATAAAATCAAAACGGAAATGTGAAAAAAAATTTAAAACGAATAGTAACTACATCTTACGTTTATAAAACTGAAAAGAAAATTATTGCAAAAATGTCCTTTGTTTTTGTCAAGATGATACATCAGCTTTCATTCTAAATGTAATTATTTCGGTATTGTTGTATATTCATACAAAAAAAAAAAGGTCAAACAATTGAACCCCCCCCAAATGATTTTTTTTTTTTAATTATTGCACATCAAAGTTAAAAAAAAAGTGAGTGGTGCACAGTACAGTATGTGATGGCAATATTGTGCGTCTAAATGAGCCGGTGATCGACAGGCAGGGGCAGGCACAGACCCTCCCCCCTCACCCCCGCCCGCTCCAGCTCTTCCTGGACGCGGCCTCGGCCTGTGTCGGGCGTCGCGGGCGAGTGCCGTTAATTTTAGATCGGCACGCAGGAATGCTCCATGCGTCCATTCAACATTAGTCGCACACTCCAGTCTTTCTCAAAGCTTTTCCACCAAGGTGCACAAAAAAAAAAAAAACACTCTCCAAATACCAACATCAAGGCTAGCGTTAAAAAAAATTAAATTTTTCACTTCATAAAAATTTTAGGACTACCTAAAAACTTTAAAAGCAAATAGCTCTTAAAGTTTAAATCCAAAGGAAATGAGCATAAAAGTTAAATAAAACGGATCCGTAATTTGCACTTTGCATACATAGTAGTACGTAATATATGACTTAAATGAACCGAGTTCACATTCCTATTTTTTTGGGGTTGTCGTTTCTAATAATTGTGATATGTACGTTTATTTTTCACATTTAAATATTTTTAGACTAACCCATTATTCATCATTATATACAAATCATTTGATTATTTTACTTTAAATGTTTTTTTGTTGGTATGATACAGTATACATTTGATATTGACACTTATTTTGATGCTGAGCAGCATCCCGCCCCGCCCCGCGTTGACAGCTGGCTTCCGGCCCCTTTTTTTATCCCCCCCACCTGTCTCGTGTCACAGTCACCCCCGTCTCGTCCACGCCAGCAATTTCCTGTTGCCCCCGCGGATCCTGTTACACGTTCCAAAAGCACACACACCCACATGGAAATGCACATTCTCCCTCTCGCATGCCAACCATGCTCCCATCATCATCATCATCATCTCCACAGGCAAACCTTGAAAGCACATTGCTGCTCGGACACACACACACACGCACGCACGCACGCACGCACGCACGCACGCACACACACACACACACACACACACACACACACACACACGCACACACGCACGCACACACGCACACGCACACGCACACGGATTATTAATCCCACTCAGGGAACAGGCTGTGACCCAAAATCTCATCGGAAGCAACAGATGGCTCACGAAACAACAACAAACACTGAACACTGTGCGTGCGTGTGTGTGTGTGCATGCGCACACCACCTTTATTAAATCATGAAAAGAAGCAACAGATATTTGTAGCTCTCCACCATATCAAACTTCAGCGCCTTTGGTACAACACTGAGCGGTGGAAAAGAAGAAAGGAGACTTCCTAAAATCAATCATCACCTCCAGGTGAGGAGAGCACAACTAAAAAAAAAAAAAAAAGGTTTGCTAGCAGTTAGCAATTAGTTTATGGAGGCTGGTGACAGCGTAAACGGCACAAGTTCAGTCAACTAATCAGCATTCTTCAGCACAGCCTACCTCCTCAAAGTGTTCCTGGGAGGTACACAAAGACCTTCGTGGCTCGGAGGTACATGGTGGACCCTCCCAGACCAGGAACCTTTTTTGCGCGTGAACAAGGGATTCTACACAATCGACTTGGGTACATTGGGAAGTTTTTTTGGAATTGGTTCTTGCGGTCTAAAGCCCCCTGTAATTTTAACATTTAAGGCTTTCACAACTAAGTGACTCACTAAGATGCAGAAATATTAGTTTTCACCCCGTTAGTGTTCACATGTCAAGAGTTATAACTAGTGAAACACTTATGCTAGTTTTGTTAGCCCCTTTCTATGCTGTTTTGCTCTGTTTATGAGCATTATGCTAGCATGTTGTTTTAAATCCACAAGTGTCTTTGTTTTTTAGTTTAGTTTGACAGTAATCTCCAATTTGGAGCGCCAATTAACAGTTTGAATCTTCATTTTGCCGACATAATATTATAAGCTTAATGACAGTCTCTACTTTCTCACAGTGTCACTTGTCGATGAAGCCAGGGAGCTTCATTGACCTCAGCTTCATTTCTTTCCTGCTTCCTTCTGGTTGAAGTCGTAAAAGTCCCACGCCACCTCTAAAATTCCCGGAAGGAATGTGTGCAGTGGGAGGACAGGAGTGTGTACAAAGCATTCGCATTCACTTGGCTCCCCGAAGCATTCGTCAACCGCATGGTTCCCAACTTTTTCGGCACCGTCGTCTTTGATCGTCTTGCAGAAAAAGTGGGAAACCAAACAATCGCCACGCGGTTCCCGACTTCTTCTGCGAGATTATCAAAGGGCTATCTTCTTGCAGAAAATGTCAAGCGTGTGTACATAGTGGCTTCGCTGGACTCTCAAACCGTCGCCAACCACAAGCTTCCCGTAAGAGTTGGGAAGCAGGCGGCATCTCTGTGGGAAAGAGAATTCATTTCTAGGACAGTTTCTTTCATTTCGTGGCCACGTTTTGGAACAGGGTTATCATAGTTTCGTATCTTTTATAATAGTTTGTTATTTCATTTTGAACATGGATGTTTGACGTTCATCAAGTGATACGTTGCGATTACGGACATTTTCCCCATTGAGCGTTGGTGGTCCATCCGTAACCTGTTGGCACTCTCGCAAGTCACGATGCAGATTTATGAAAGCTTTCTGTCGCACCAAAAAAACCCCAAAAAACTATCTTTGGCTCCTCTTCAGCCTTTGAGTCATTCGAACTCTCCTGCCCACGCTGTAACACTACAGGCCTCTCTAACACAACACTACATGAATACATGAATGGATGGAGAGAGAGAGAGAGTGTCCATTGAAAAAGATAAAGTGCAGTGGCCCTGAATCATGTGTGCTGTCTTCATGTAGCCCACCAGAGAGTAAAAATAGATACACACTGACTGCAACCTTTTTTTGGGGGGTGGGGGGACTAAAACCAAGTTAGGGAGAGAAACAAGGGAGCAAAGGACACCGATGAAGCTTATCCTCGGCTCAATGATTGATTGAGTGTACTCACTCAGTCACTTGGCACTTTCCGATGTTGATCATCGAACATCTGTGGATTATTACGCACCAGATTTGCACACGACACCTTTCACAGAAGTCACGAGTGGGTGAATTCATCACGAGATGGACGATGGATGGATACAACAAATGAATACATGATGTGATGGCCGTGTGCATGGATGGATGGATGGATGGATGAACAAGTAGGAGGATGGATCGCAGAGAGCTGGGTGAAGAGATGGGATGAAGAGGTGGCTGACTGGAGACGATGGACGGAGATGGATGAACGCGTGACTCGATGGGTGGATGAATCAGGTGACGGCTCATTGAATGAATCAATGGGTTAAGCCAGTGGCTGCCTGCATGAATAGGACGATGGATGACGTTGACGAATGGGACGGTGAATGGATGGATGGATGAATAGGCCACCAGAGGCCGACGGATGAAAACATGGCGTGAATCGATGGATGCTTAACAAACGGTCGGACAAACAAGTGTTTTTATGAAATTAATAAATAGCCGTTAAAAGTCAAACCTAAAGCCAAAAGACGGCCAAGATATGAAATATTAATAACTTGTCAGCAAAGGTCGATTGCACTTACCAGCATACACTGATTGCACAAGAAAGTTTTCAAACTTTATGACCGTCATTGAGTGCGAATATGTTGTTATCAGTGCCTTTTCTTCACTATTGCATAATAAGTCAGTGAGACATTTACCAATGAACCGGGAACGCTGAGGAAAACTTCCAATAAAAAGCTTACTAAAGAGCAAAGTACAAGAGTCGAAAACGGTATAAAAGCGGACAAAAAGAGATCTTCCCCAAACGGGAGCGCTGATGGAGCGGGAGATGGAAAGCAGCCACTTCATCACGAAGGTAAGCGCTTGCGTTTTGCAGTCCGTGGAAAAAGAAAGACCTGTGCAGGGATGCCGCTGAATATCTGAATGTGTGATGCTCCTCCATAACATCAGGCCGCAACTTGCCACTTCATTTCAATTTGCTCGATTCTTATTTTGATGTGATTGCACCGTGGGTATTTGATATGCGTTTAATTTTCATTAAACACACATGACCTAATTGACAGTATTTAGTTTCATTGCAGTGTACTGCGTGGTTACGCCCTATTAATGCATATATATATTGGAAATTAAACAAATGACACTTAAAAAAGGGGATTATTTAATTTTTGTGTGCTTGCAAAAAAAAAAAAGCATAATTTTGGATATTTTACACAATTGTATTTTACTGTACGCTGGATAAAATGCCAATATCTATATTTCAATTTTTGTTCAATTAGTAGACTTTTAAAATATTGTGAAATTTGACTTCATTTTTCATGTAAATATTTTTTCATTAACAAATAAATACATGGGGATGGAACATGACTTTTAAAAATGTATTTTAAAATATTTTTCATGAGTAAATGAATACATAAATGGAAATGGAGCATGTCCTTTAAAAATAGATGTGACTTCATTTTTGTTTAATTCAGTTTTCATTTCTGTGATTACATATTTTGCATTATTATATTGGTACAGTATATCCTGTACAAAAATATTTTAATAATCAACTTTTACTAGATAGTATTTTATTTTCTGTATTTTTATTTTGGATGATTACACCCTGGGTAGGACACACAGACAGGAATACGCACGCGCGCGCACACACGCACACTCTCATCTCCCCCCCAACACACACACACTTTTGAAGGGTTGAGTTGCACCATTTATGCCACATGGACTTATTTTCATGGGGGGGGGGCGACTTTTGTGATAGTGCAATTAAACAAAAAAAGTTGAACTCTTGTCATGGGATCTTTTTTTCCTGATGATGATGATTACTTAAAAAAAATGTTATTTGTTTCTAAAATTCCCCCAAATATCCTTGAAAGGCTCAAACATTTCCCTTTTGATGTCGCAGTAGTAGCGCAAAGCACGATTACCCGTTGATTGTACCATCGAGTGAACCTGAATGGTACAGTTTCAAAAGTTGAACATGAAGTTTTTCCAATTAGAAGAGGCTGCACCCAACTGGAGCTGCTTTGAGGTACTTCCGTACATCCCCCCCCCCCCCATAAACCATTGCTTGGCTTGTTACATTACTCTGGTGATAGCGTCAGCGGAGTTGGGCCTCAAGTAACGTGGCATAGCTTGTAGCTTAGCTGCCGACAATTTCCGAGTGGTTTTGGCCAATACTGGGACGGACGGGCTAATCACAAGACCACTGTGCTGCCCCGTTTAAGTCATTAGCGGAGATAAGAAGAAGAACAAGAACAACGTCCACCCTGTTTCCCAGAAAGCTGATTAATAGTCTCCCGTTTTTTGCTGCCCCGCCTTTTTGCTGCCCAGGGGGCGGGGCCAGCAGACGGAAACAAGGAAACCAAAAGGAATTCTTTCCAAAATGGGGTTTGTCGAGTCGAAGGTCACTGAAGCTGCGGCACACCAGGAAAGGTGTGCCTTGACATCCCCATTATCGAACCCGATTGGAATCTCAGCAGTTTTCGGCTTGGCCGATTCATTTGTGAGTGAGTTCATCGGTGAGCGAGTAGATTAGCGATATCATGAGTTAAATTGTGAAAGACTGATTGAGTGAATTAGTTTGTGGATGAGTAAGTTAAAAAGTGTGTTGGATGATGAGTGACTGAAGAAATCATTAAAAAAAAATGAACGAGTGGCATGAATAGTGACTTAAACAATTAGGGAGTTAATTAAACCGTGAGTGAATTAAATAGTGACTGAGTGAGTGAGTTAAATAATGAGCGAGTAACAGAGCAAGTTAGAGAATTTGTAAGTGAGGTAACACGCGAGTGAATGAGATAACGAGTGTGTAAGTGAGTGAGTTCATTTGTGCCAGTTAAACAACGAGGTGACTTAAATAGTGATTGAGTTGGTTCGTTTGTTAGTGTAACGGTGAGTGAATGAGTCAAATAGTGAGTGAGTACTTACTTGCTGCTCGCGGTTAAAACATATAAAACGTAATATTTTATGAAGGAGTACATCGAATTTTGCAATTTTGGCCTCAGTTGTTGTCTGTCCTTACAAAATAGACAAACAAGTCTGACTTCCTGCCGCTATAAAAGTGAACAAAAGAAATACAGTGGAAAGTTTTTTTTTCTTGGTCAAAGCTGACATTGTTCCTCCACGGTCAAGCTTTATTGAGGCCACGTCTGACCCCGTGACTCCCCACAAGCCACTCATGCACCCCCACTCCACTTCCCTCGTTATCCCGCTTTCAAGTGGAACTCTTGAGGAATTCCCGGCAGACTTTTGGTGCCGTAAAAATTCCTGAGCATCCTGGCAAACAGAGCTGACCTCATCTATGCAGGAAGTTCACAAGGTCGCCATTTATGGTGTGGGGTTCGGGCGGGGGGCTTTTCACACACACGCCAGATAAGCAAGCAGATTACAACCGAGCTCAACTTTGACCCTTTTCCACTCTGCCGGGACAACACAGCTGCTCGGAGCCCATATCCTGCAGCACCTCTCCCCAAATTAACCTCAACATTACACCACTAGAAGCTTTTTCCACAGTGTAGCTGTCAACTGCTAGCTCCAAGTGTGTATAAAGTATGTTGAAAACATTTTCCAAATTAAAATAACAACAAATGACATTATATGATTGTAAATTTGTACACTTTGATTTAAAAGCAGTACAGTCATAAAAGAAGCTCCTCATAACATTAACAATGAACTAATAATCAAGTTCACGACACAAGTAGAAGCACGCACATACAGGCAAATCTCGCGACAGATTGCTGTAACAGTGTTTGGCATTTTTGGCTTTTCAGTGAGTGTGTTTCTGATGACAGAAAAGTGTAAGGTAACAGTGGAGCAGCAAAGGGCAAATAAGGAAAGTTTTTTTGGGGGTCAGTACTTGAAAGACTGGTTCAAAGGAGCTGTAAGCAGATTTACAAGAAGCCTATAGGAGCGCTTATATAACTGTGGGTATGTGTGTGTTAGCATGAGTGTGTGTAAGAATTGTACATTTATTCGAAATGTTAACTCAGCAAGTATGTACACTGTACCTCAACGTAATTGGATTACTGCCATCATGAGGCCAAGCTAGGCTTCAAATACAATAACGTGCAATTTTCTTGTTGGGGGGGAAAAAAAATAAAACATTGTGAATGGTTTTTGATGAGAGGCTGGAACGAATTAATGGTATGTCCCTTCATTTCAATTGAGACAGATGGTTTGCGATACAAGAATCTTGAGTTAAGAATGTGGTAAGTGAAGAAATTAAACTTGTAAATCAAGGCACCAGCATGTGTTTCCTCGTCCTGTGTGTGTGCAAAAGTGCATTGCACCATCCTCAAGATGAAGGAATCCTCTACAGCATCAGGGGGAAGGCGGTGAGGTAGGGGGTCGCATTTGCCTCCAAACTCCACCCTCCACCGTGTCCTTCACTTGACCCGCCCCCTCCTCCTTCCACCTTACGTAAGACAGCGACTGCAGCTATGAATGAATGGGTGACTCAATGAGGGCCTTAAAATGATGAATGAATCCCCCCCCCCCCACACCCTTCCTCCTTCCTCTTCATCCCTCCTCTTCATCTTCCTCAGATTAAACTGTAATCCTGTAGGATGATGTCGTTGCTGCATAAAGGTGGAGGAGGGGCGGGGTTGGGGATGCGTTGGGGTGGGATGTTAAAATGATGATGTCATGCTTTCTGGGCTCATTCATGGGGATGGAATAGGGAGAAGGAGGGAGCACAAATATGCTGCCTTTTTCCATCCATAAATATTGAATATGGCCCGCTTGTATGACCGTAAAGAATTAATTTAAGTGATAAGAGTCATTGTCTTTTTTTCCCCACCTTTTTAAAAAAATTATAGAAAATCGGTTCCTTTTATTCCTTTTGTAGTACAATTAAATGCGTAAACAGGTGACTTAAAAATGTGCCGATAATGTTATAAATCCATCTATCCATCCATCTGTAACGGTTGCTCACTTTAATGAGTGGATGAGGCTCGATGCGTGCCTCCTGATTTAGGTTGCACTACCACCTGGCGGACAGTCTTAGAAATTACAGGTGCATCTTCCCAGAACAACAAAAAAATACAGTACTGATTGAACCCCTTTACATGGGAGTTAAACAAGTAAAGCCTCTGAGAATATATTTAAGTCCGGAAGGAAATGCGAATTTTTACTCTCAGTTATGTACAGCAATCTTTTCATGAATTTGGCAAGCTAAACTGACCTATCGTGAGCAAAGCTATGTGACTGTTTTCAACACACATGTAAATCTCTGTTTCATGTTTATCTCAAAATGGCGCTCGCAAGTCAAAGCAAAATAAATCAATAAATATTCAAACGACCGCAGCTTGTATCTTGAAAAACTTGCATGTCGGTTCACGATATCTCAAAGCATCATTCTATGTGCTTTTGCGATTAGATGGGAAGTTTTTGAGTGACAGAAGCTCGTGGTTTTGAGGCTGCCAAAAGTCGCATTCGCAAATCGCCCAAAATAATTCTTAAAGCTGACAGGTTCAAAGAATTGTCTTAAGGCCATGGATTGGGAATCTCTTGCTTCTGTGAGAGTCTTGTGTCATTAGATCATCGTTCAAGCTCCTTGGTTCACGTGTCTTCATGTCGCTTTTTTCTTCAGTCTCCAATCAGCCAGCCAATCAACATCTCAACAAAAGTTGACGCTACCTCTCTCCCCAACTTATTTTTTATTTTTTTTTAACATGCTGCCATTTGTTGAAAAATTAACCAGTCTATGTTAACAAAGAGAAAATCCAAATTTTTATCTGAGTCATTTTAGGTTGAATTCCAAATTATTTTAACCTACTGTATTTCTACAGAAAACATTGTTTGAAGGTCAGTTCAGCTTTTCGGTATTAGCCAGCTGGGTGGTCACATTGTCTGCCTCATGACAGCCTGTAAGTGACTCGGGCTGCTTTATTTCTGATCTTTAACGATAAAGTAAAAAATAATTGTGTTGTTCAAGCATGTCATGGATCACAGATGCTAATACGCCTCATTTATCACTCATGTTGTATACTTGCACACAAGTGTGTGTTTGTGTGTGTGTGGGGGTGGGGGGTGACCACCACTTAGATCACAAGTAATGATGGTGGCATCCATCACAGCACATCAGAAATGATTGATGATGATGATGATGTTGTCATAGCGTGTCACACCCTGTGATCGCACCAAAGAAAGTAGAATTAAAACAAAAATACAGTAACCAGAATGTTACGTAACATATGTATATCATATTTCAAGTCTACTCATGCAATGGAACATACCTAGATCATATTTAAGGTCTATAGTCCCCTAATGTAGGACTATATTACAGATTGTATATAACGACTTTAATGTAACATATGGACATTATTTTGTATTGTCTATACATCTCAAATATATGGGCCTTATATTCAATGCTTTATACGCCTCTAATATATTGACAGTAGATGTATATCTTTATTTTGTTTGTTTGTTTTAGGCAAGAGCAAACTCATAGTCAGCATCATATCTCAACAAATAACAAAAGAGGACATTGGTAACAAAAGTCCATTTTGCTTGAAAGGGAGTGGCAAGAACATTTATTTAATGCCACCCCCACCTTCCATTCAAATGCACACACTGTATTAGCAAATCTGCTATTATGACCTTACCACTCAATGGTAAGGAAGTACCCAGAGAGCAATGCATATTACATTACTGGAATTTGGATTTGTGTTGTATGCACAGAATAATCCAAAATTGCACACCACACGCAGACACACAAAACCTTTTGCAGCCTAGTTTGAATTTTAACAACCCCCACCCCCAACACGCACACACACACACACACACACACACACACACACACACACACACACACACACACACACACACACACACACACACACACACACAATGCGCATATAGGCAAACAACAACATAATTCGGCTCCAATGTAAACACGTATTGTGTTATCTGTAACATAATACTACGCTATTGTTAGCTCATTAGCCAAAATGGTATTTTAAGGTTGGTTTTGAAAATTTCAACCTCAAAGTATTGTAATCTCGAATGGTGTGTCATGCTAGTTCACTAAACGGCTATTCTCTTAGCACTTGATGTCTGTTCATTTTTCAAACCACAAGTATGGTGGCCATTAAAGGACAAAGGTCCTATTAGTGTAACCGAGGTGTACTGTATTTTACATATGTATATGGAGTGTGTAACACAGTGCCATGCAGTTATTAGCTCTTTAGACAACTCTATCCCTACATGAAGTCTTGTTAGCAAGCTTAGCCAGCAAAGCTAACATGGCTTGGGATGCCGTTCCGCTCTATTTGGATGTCACGCTAACATCCTGTAGCAATGACATGCACTAGCTAACTCGTGGCGACGCTTTAGTGGGCAACATTTGACGCAGTCTCGTGTGCGCCAACCAACAATTCGCAGTCACAAGGCTTGGGAAATGGTCTCCTGATTCTTTACAATGGTCCACACTAACATTATTAAGAAGTTGAGTCAGGCCCGTGGCTTGGATGCTACGCTACGCTACATTAAAGCCATTAGCAATAGGTATGCTTTGGTGGTGACCGGAAAGAGAAGAAGCACAAAGGGTCTTTGCAAGGCTTGCTAGGGTGGCCAATCGCTTCAAACGCGAGCTGCAGGTAGCATTGCTAATCCGACGGCTTTGATGTTTTTGTGGGTTATGCTGGTCACGTACTGACTATATCGTATGGAAAGACACTCAATCACTCTGAATAAATTTTACTTTGAGTGCATTCAATGCTAACCGTCCACAATGTGTTGTGTTTTATGAGTAAAAGAGTCAGTAAGGTGTTAAGAGTAATTATTTTTTTTAAAAAAGTCATCAAATTAGAGTACCGTGTTACTAAGTAAGGCGGTACTCTAATATGATCTTCACTGTTGGAGAGCTCTCAACTCAACTCAAATGTATTTATAGAGCACTTTCAAACAGCCATCGCTGCATACAAAGTGCTGTACATGGAGCAACTAACATATACAACAGTAAAGCAACAAGTCGGTAACAAAGACGGTAGCTAAGCACTTGTTTGGTCATAGTCGGTGTAATCAGTCGAGAACCACTGCACTAGTACATGGAGTGGATCAGGATTGGAAAACCCAGAGTTAGGCCCCCCGCCAAGGCCCGCTTGTCAAACACTTGTACGTGAACGTGATACATGATGTGTTGCTTGTTATGTCAGATGGTGGAGACCCCGCTGAGTCTTGACCGTCCTGAGTGCTGTTTTCTACTATGGCCCCATTTTGTTTACAAAGCTGGGTACTTCACTGAGACCACAGCTATTCATCCATTCATTCCTTGTCATTTTTCATCTAACAATCTATGCACCCATTTATGAGTCCATCATCATTCATGTGACATCCAGCCAGTTTCCAGCCATTCATTCATCCTATCATGCATCCAATGAATCTAATTATACATCGAATATTCATTGAGCCAACAAACAATCTGTTTCATCTCACAATCACTGCAGCATCCATCCAGCTGTCAGGGATCCGTTCATCCAGCAACCTTTCATCCATCCATTGAACCAGTCCTCAATCCCATCATCCAATCATCAATTTAGTTGCCGACCCATTCAACTGTTCACTCATCCATCCCACATTCAATCCATCATTCGTCCATTCAGTCATACAACCATCAATTTTTGCGACCAACCATCTTTCAGCCAAACATCTACTCATCCACACATCCAAGCAGTCAACCATTCATCTAGGCAGCAAATCATCCGGTCACTTTTTCATCCATCCATCCTTGCAGCCAAATATGCATTCATCCACTCATCCAACATCCATCAAACCATCTAACTAATCATCCATACGATTCAAGAGTGAACAATTCATCCATCCATGCATGCATCATCCACCCAACAGACAAACCATCCAGTCATTCATCCATTTTCCCATCCAACAATCAATCCATCATCTATCGATCCACCAATTCTTCCATCATCCATTGATGCATTTCACCACCCAACCAATCATCCATCCATCGAGTTATGACCTCTCATCTACCCACCAAAATATCCAGTCATCCATCTATCTACAAAGTATTTCATCCATCAACCATCCACTTATTTATTCATCCATCCAACCCAAAACCAATCATCTACCAACCTTGCAATCAACCACCAATCCATTTAGCCAGTTATGCCCTCATCCAACCAAGCAATCATCCAATGGGCCATTCAACCAATTGAGTCCTTCATGCAACCATTCATATGTTAATTCATCCAACCAAACCATTCATCATCCATTCCACCATCTACCTATCCATCTGTCTATGCATGCATTCATCCACACAAGACCCGTACAGTTCATGAAGTTTTTTTTTCTATAAATATATATATATATATTTATATATATATAATGGAATGATTTATGGGAATGAAATGGATCACAATGGTAAATTTAGTTTTATGAGTTGACTAACTGGAACATCTGGCGGTGGAACTTTTCGGATAACATTTGATTCTTTATGGTCAGGCTTTTTATGATAATCTCCACCAGAGGCAGATGAGAATCCTTGAGGCAGATGAGAATCCTTGAGAGGTCAACTGATGTCAATGATGACCAGACGATGGTTAAATCCGTGAAGTAAAAAAAAAAAAAAAAAAAAAAAAAAAAAACGGGAGACTGATGCTTTTTCTGTGACTCCTGAGTACCGCTGATGACAAGATTGACTAATGAAGCGACACATGTGACAGACGCGCTCGCACAGGACCAGCCCTGGTCACGCATCACATGACCGTACAGTAGGTCAAGGGGATGGGAGGTCCCAGAATCAGTCAGCTACCCTTCTTGTGACTCGACTGTGAGCTTCAGTTGCCGTGGCGACCCATCGTCTTAGTCCGGCACTTTTTTTGCCCTCGCACTACTCTTAGGCCGCTGTTTGTTGATTGTCCGCCTGCGGCATGCACCTCACTGTCAAGGAGGAGCGCCTGGAGCTTGGCCTGAAGGAGCTGGCAGATGATGACACCGCTTTCGGGGTGAGTTCACCCTCATTGTGATCAAAAAGTAGAAACAAAAAGATATTTTAGCATATTTTTGTACAAGTTGTCAGGTTTGTCTTTACAGTTTGTAAGCCACTATGGAATGCGGAATCAACAAAGTCTGCTAAATGTCAGTGGGATCAACTGCACCATGCTCGACTTTGTACGCTCTTAATCCCGCTGGGTCAAAAATGTCACAATTTTGGGCAAAAATTGGACCGACCTTCTACTTGCGTCAATTTGACCCAACTTTCTGGATTGTTTTTGTATACGAAGACTATCCATGCATCCATGATTTAATCCACTTATCCTCACGGGGGTCACAGGCATGCTGAAGCCTATCCCAGCGGTTTTCGGGCAGCAGGCGGGGTACACCCAAAACCGACTGCCAGCCAATCGCTGAGGACACATAGATAAAGAAGCATTCGCGCTCACAGTCGCACCGTGGGACAATTTCGAGTGTCCAACCAAGCTACCATGCGTGTTTTTGGAATGTGGGAGGAAACCGGGGTACCCGGACAAAACCCACACAGGCATAGGAAGAACATGCAAACTGCACATAGGAAGGCCGGGGCCGGAATGGAACTCCGGACCTTTGTTACATGCTAACCAGTCAATTACCATGACGCCTATAAAACATCCATCTATCCATCCATCCAATTACCTGGACCGCTTTTATGCTCGCGAGGGTCGGGGGTCTGCTGTAGGAGTGATTCCCAACCAGTGTGCCGAGAGAGTTCATCAGGGGTGCCTCATTATCCAGTGTCAGTTATCCGGAGAAAAAACTCTGTTAAACATTTTTTTGTTAATTTATCTTGGCAGGCACCTAGACTAACAGGCAAAACAGAATGCCCTTCCACTAGATGACAGAAGGTACATAATTAGCCCGTGTATCCACTTTTTGTGAATCGTTCAGCTTAGTGGTGTGCCGTGATATATTTTCCGATGAGGAAATACGTGCCTTGGCTCAACAAAGGTTGGGAAACACTGCTGGAGCCTATCTAGCAGCCGTATTGGGGCAGCAGGCAGGGTACACCTTGAACTGGTTGCCATCCAATTGCAGGGCACACATAGACAGACAACCATCGACAAAAATTAGGGCTGTATCAATAAAGAGTTTATCCAGAAGCAGTCGAGTGACAACTGGCAGTGGTCGTAACGTAGGCTGTGGCTTATGCACAACAAACGTAGGCTGGACATCCGCAGACTGCCACAGCAAGCACGAGGAGGGTGGTTTTGACAAACCAAACGGCCCGAAAGCACAGCTGTTATTCAATGACTCCCCTTCCCGATTCATTGATTGACTAACCACTCAGTGGTAGTCATCCCAGTGTTTTATTTTGTACAAAAATAAGCACATTTCGTGAGAAGTTTGTTATGTAGACCGTACACCCAGAGGTTCAACTTTTGGACCTCAAGTCATTTTGAACGTGGAAAAATACCAACAGTTAGATTGCAGTCAAATGTACTGATCACCATTAGCAAGTCGTTTTATTTTCGATAGATTAGAACTCAGTGGTTTAACATTGAGCTTTCGCTTCTAAAACGTTTATTTGTACTTGTTTTTGCAAGATGATTTTGAATTAATTTGAATGTGGATACATGAGTGGTGGTCAGATTGATCGAAATATGGATAGGAATAGCAACATTTTATTATTATTGTTATTATTATTATTTTGCCAGGGATGAAGATTTAGGCCACAGTTCCAACTAAAACCAGACAGTTGCCACCTGGCTAAAAAGGTCCCAATTTTACCAGAATACACTTGAAGTCTCCCAAACGCCTGTTGGAAAATGTGTCATTGTTTGATGAAACCAAGGTTGAGCTTCTTGGACATAACTTCAAAAAAATATGTTTGGCAAAAACAACACTGCTGATGTTGAAAAGAGCACGATACCCCAAAGTGAGGCATGGTGGTGGCAGCATTATGTTTTGGGGCTCTTTTGGTTTGCTTTTGTTTTTTTCAGTTGGAACCGGCACTTTTGACGACGTGAAGGGAATCAAACTATTCCAAATAACGGTCAGTAATAGCTCAACATCTTCAGGCTTTGAGAAAAACAAACAAACAAAAAAAAACATTTTGGTATTTCCCTAATTGCGTGTCCACAATCTGTTCCAGGGTCAAACTACCGCCATAATCAAAGCTCACTTGACTTCACAGGCCTCGTTGTCATTCTTGCAGTGTTTTATGAACATGTTATTATTCTTACGAATCATACAAGTGTAAAATGAAGTTAACCACAGTCAGTGGAATTTCACATTTCTGGAATTTGACTCAGTATATAGCAGTCATAAAGAAAGAGCCCATTCAGTTGCACTCTGGTGGTCACGTTCTAAACAATCCAGCTACAACAAAATCCAATCTGCATGGTCAGTCACAGTCTGCAATTGTCAGATGGACAAGAGGATTTTTTTGTTGAATGCGAGTTTCACTTCGGAAAAATAAATTTGGTAGCCGTGTCCGTTATGACTAGACCCACAAAAAAATTCTCAAGAGGCCACGCCTCAAACGACAAAGGAAGTCTTCGAGTTGAATATGAAGCAACACGTCTGCTTGGTAGCACCCCGATACAATTAAAAAAAAAAAAAAATCTCCGAAGCCTGTTTAACTTAGCAACATTGCATTTGGGATGCATTACTATCATGAGTAGGCCCACAAAAAAAGTCTCAGAAAGCCATGTCCAAAAAAAGCACAGGAAGTCTGCCATTTTGGTTTGAAGCGGCTATTTTAGGTTTACTTTGGAGGTTTCCAGGTGACTTGCCATGAAACACGAAACTTCACTGACTCAACTGCACAAGGTTGAATTTTCACCACATTTCACTGAACGACATTGAACGCAGTAAATGTTGGGGTGCGATTATTGAACACAAGAGCTTGGATATGTTTGATATCCAAGGCAAAGTAGCCATGTTGGAAAAGACACAGCAAGTCTGCCATTTTGAAGAGGTCGTATCTGGCTCATTTTGCCCTTTTTCCTGTAGTGAATTAAAAGTGAACTTGATTTTTCTTTTTCTTTGTCCAATTGCAACCAAATTTGAAGCCCATATAATAGACAGAGGCTGGACGATGCTAAATTGTGAAATATTCAAGTCCATCGTTGCATGTGGGAAGAATGATGACTCGCTAGGTAGGAATTTCTATCATAAGTCATTCTTGAATTATTTTGGCTGTTTCCTACGAAGACAAACTTCATTGTACAGACAGAGGAACCACCCAAAAACACAAAACTCTGAGGCATCATAAGTTTGTTGATGGCTACTGTCCGCTTGTTGGTGTGTGTTTGTCTCATGTGCTCACTGTAACAAATGGTGGAGACTCTCAGCTGTCAAAGTGAATGTATGAAGACATTCACCATTCCTTTTTTTGCGGTCAGGGGTCAGAGGGACGCGTCGGATGTATTGATTGGCAGCGGATAAATCGATGAGGTTTCGGTGGGTCAACGTTTATGCCTCAAACGTCTCCTGGAAGCCATTAAATGATAGATGACGCTGCTGTTGCCCGGTTCCGACTTGTGTTGCATTACCCAGAGGTTGTGAACCCTTTTGATGAATTATAAGACCAAAATGTCACTTACATTAGCACTAAAAGAACATCCATGCGCTTGTGACGCGGAAAGTGCACATGACGCTTCGCGGCAAATAATCACGCGCAACACAACATTGGACACGTTTCTGGGTTATTTCGCTGGAATCGCTGCCATGTGTGTTGTAATTCTCACACAGTAAACTTCAAATCTGACGGTCCTAGTAGAAAGTTGAACTCCCAAAATGTGTCTCTAGCAACTTCTAAAACTTCTCATTTGAGGAAGCGGAATGAAGGTAATAGGAGTGAGTTATTAGCATAGAATCAGCAAAGGCTTGAACTATAGCCACATGGCAGTATTGGTCCATGGTCATTTAAATTTTTTAATGGTTTTGATTAAATACGTAATTTATTTATTTAGCGAATGCAAAGTCCTTCAGCCATGCAGTTGCCTCTGGGTCAGCTGAGTGGAGGGTGGCTAGCCCTCAGTTCAGTCATTTTTTTAAACAAACGTCCCAATGATAACAGTGTTTTTTTTTTTTTGTGGCTATCAATTCAGAACTCCTATGTTAAACTGCAACATGACCTGTTATCAAGTTTTGGATGGAGCTTTTGATTTCAGTAAATACAAACCCGTAATGCTGAAAATTCAACAAATGACAATTTTCAGCTCTTTTAAAATCTTGAAAATGTCTGTTTAAAGATTAAGACTTTTCTTTTTAAAATGGGAAAAATACTACTTTCCATTCTGAAACACCCCAGAACTTTGATTTAGAAAACTGAATATTCTTTTTAAAGACACAACTTCATGCTACTATAGACGATGCTGTTTTGTCCATTTCATAAAACAGTTCAATGTCAGGGCGCCGCAGTTCAGGCAAACCACCACCAGATGGCAACATAAAGCCATCAATGGCTTTTTCTACGTTGCACAATGTAAAGCTTTTCGACCCCAGGGAGTGCTGGCACAAGTAGCAGATGTGTTTGTTGTCCTTTGAACTGTACCCTTGAGGAGCTCCTGCTTTCAAGTCGGCCATGAACTTCGAACTGGCGCCTCCATAAATTTGCGTGCCTTTGTGACAGCTCACCTGCCGGCATGAAGCATGCAGGTCGGTTTAACCAACTCCCCACACGCATGACCCATAACGTGATGACAGGATATTATGTGGTCACACGCCTACTGTCGTGAGTGATGTCTAACACATATTAGCAACCGTGCGCATATGGAAGAAAAGTGTAAAGAGCTTTTGGATAGCCGTACACTGTAGTGACTGATAACATGACGCATGTCTGCGAAACTGCCGCAGCTTCTCAATGGAAGTACGCAGTAGTGATGCAAAACTTGAACATATTAAGTCCCCTCCAAAAATACTGGACATTTTGGATCAAAAGATGAGCTTGAGACAAAAGTTCAGAAGTCCAACTTTGAGTTCACGGTATTTACATGTGGATGTGTTAAACGACTCAGGACGGAGCAACTTTTGTTTGAAGCCACCCACTTTTTAAGTGAGCAAAAGTATTGGAACAGACATTATTAAATGAACTCAAAGTATTTCGTGGCTTAAGCCTTACTTGCAATCATTGCATCAAGCCTGCGACCCATTAACTTCACCACACTCTTGCATTCTTCATTTGAAATGGTTATCTAGGCCTTTACTGCAGCCTCTTTCAGTTCTTATTTATTTCAAGGGGTTCCTCTCCTCAGTCTCTTCTTCATGCTCAATTGGGTTAAGGTCCAGTGACTGACTCTGCCATTTTTCCACCCCAACTGAAGTCCTCTGTCGTGTTGGCAGTGTTTTTTTTTTTGTCATGATGTTACCAAAATGAATCCTGAAGTCTACAAAACCATTTTGTCTGTCACGAATAAAAAAAAAATCTTGTGAATAAATAGAATCATGATACTAACTGCGTACTTTTTTTTTCTAGAAAGAAAACGGTCAAGTTAGATTTTAATTTGAAGAGATTGTATTTTTTATGTGTCATCTATATTTTAATTTAACAAGTCCTATTACTGAAAAGCAGGCAAATAAAGTTGTGGTTCTTTTCCAGGAAAAAGGCAATGTATCAGATTTCATCAACAGTTAGAATGTGGTATGAAACTGAAAAAAAAAACTGTAATGCAGGTGGACATCGCCCAAGTGTATCATTTTCCACCTTTCAGATGTTCCTAAATGATTCGCAATGCGTATCCATCACTGGCAATGGTGGTCGGCGTGTGGGCATCCAGATTTTTTTGTTTGTTTTTTAATTGCCAAACAAAACAAAACAGAACGTTTTTGCTTTTTCCTCCCTTGCACCACTCTCTCACCACACTTCTCGGGTATCACGCGAGGAAGTTGGAGAATTTCCCAGCGTGTCGACAACAAATGGGTACAAAAACAATCTCCAGTGAACTTAATACTTGACCGTGAGTTCAAAAGTAAAAAAATAAATAAATAAAATAAAAACTTTTTTGGAGGATGCCCAATCTATGGGAAAGTGAGGTTGCCATCCAGATCCGGGAGGGATTTATTGTGCCGTGACAATCTGCTCGCATCAAAAGGCCAAGTGAGGATACGGACCCAAAAGATCCAGTATGCAGGTGGTTTCAGGTGATCAGAAAACGTAAACACAGGGGATGTTGGCGATGGATCACTTGAAAATCCATGTAAATAAGAAAAAAAAAATGCCAGAGAGGAGCACAAAGACCTGCAGTGTAAAATGGAGGATTTTCTTGAAGTTACCAAGACAGCCCACTGGTGACCAAGCCAGATTTTAATCACCCCCCAAAAAAAATAATTACCATAAAATCCTGTGAGTAAAATGTATATTTTCCAAATAAAATGATCTGAAAACTGGATTATCCGCGGATTAATTAAAAAAAAAAATTATGAATCATTCCAGAATTGGAGGACATTTCGGCTACAAAATTGTTGAAAAATAAACCTTTACTTTTCTGATTTTCAGCTACATGTTCATGAATAGTAGGTAACAAACTATCAAATGCTTGATTCGCTCATCTTAGATCACCGGTGTCAAAGGCCCCGGGGGCCAGATCTGGCCCACCACATCATTTTATGTGGCCCGCGAAAGCAAATCAACAATGGCAACTTTCACGCTGCTTGCTAAAACCGCTACCAAAATTTCAAATTCTCATTTGTAATAAATAAGAGTGATACTGTCAGCATTTTCTTGTGGCCAAACCGCTCGTTACATAAACTTAAAAGTCAAATCAGAAAATGAGATTTGATTTGAATGCCAGGTCCCCCAGCCCTCGTGTTTCCACAGCAAAGCGACTTGAATGTTGAATGCTTGTACCATGTTAAGGAAAGCGATCTGTCCCGTGTGGCCTCTCTGAACAGAGTTGACCTCTTTGTGTTTTTAAGAATCCCCCACTCTGTGCTGAGTATCAGGTGGCTCCTGGTCCTACGAGTCATAAAAATGCCAACGGTTAGCTCCCACCAGTCAGTAAAAGGCATAAGGACCCTTGATCATACGTTGGCACAGGTTGAATCAAGTTTATGATGAAAGCTTGTTGTTTTGATATGTGTCGGTGTTCCTGATCAGGGTTTTTCTTGGCTCAAATTGAGGTGGATTTCGAAACATTCTGGCCATTCGTGCATATGCTGCGCCGCCCCACCGACTCAAACTTTTTTTTTTCTGTGATTGATTTACATCTAGTTAACAGTTACTAGTTGTTGGAGTCATATTACGATATTTAGTATATTAGAGATTTTACATTTCGGTTTCCAGTTTCAGTTAAATGGCAGTTAGTCATTTCACCGCCAGATGCAAAACTGCAAGCATTTGCAAAGACGTCTGCCAGAAATTTGTGCACTATTTCAATGGTTGCAGTCTTTCTTCAAAAAATGGGTGTTCAAAATGAGCATCCCACAAAAAAAACAAAACAAAAAAAAAACTGTTAAACCCTGAACACGTTCAAAATTTCCTGCCGACAAGAAAAACTGTTTGTGACCATTTAAACTGTTCTGTTGAATGTCTTTGCCAACGTTTGCGACCATAAACAACCCCTAAAGAAAAACATTTGATGCAGATTTAGCAGATCTCCTTCTTTACTCCTCCTGCCTGTGTGTCGAAGCTAGCTTGTTTGTTTGGTGTGCACCCCAGAACACGTGCGTACAATTAATTACTATGATCCAGGGTTTGCATGTTTGGTGCGTCTCATGTTTTACTGGTCTAGTACAAACCAGGTTTCATTGATTTGGCAGCGACCAGGATTTTCTCTTTTTGGTACTCACCAGGGTTTACCTAATCCGAACCAGAGAATCAACTTTGAAGTGTGTACACGCCCTTATCATTTACCGCAATGTCTTGTTAAACCCAAGCCTGGAGAGAATGCTTTGTTGTGATAAAAATATGAGAACAAAATAACAAAGACAAGGCAACAAAGGCGATCGGATTCAACGTGACAACAAAAGAACCCTTGTGGCTATTTCTGACATTGTGCGAGTAGAGCGGCCTCTCACCGGATGTCATGCTACGTGGCGACGAGGTCAGATATCAAAGGTGCCTTTGTCTAAGGCAGAAACATGCTGACGCGGTGAAGAAAAACAGAAAAGAACACGAATTGGTCTTGATGTTTGACATGAAACCCAATAAAGCGCATTTGCAACATGATTAATGGCGGCCATGTTGGATGAGGGCAGGCCGCAATGAGAAGGCTGCTATGGTTAAAAAAAAAAAAAAAAAAATTCAAAGACGGACAGAGTAATGAGGAAAGCAACAATGCGTTGATTTAAATTGTTTTTTGCATTTTGCAATAAAACATTTATAATAAAAAAAAAATCACTTAAGTATAAAGTTGTGTATGTGTGTGTGTGCGCGCGCTCGCGTGTTTTTGATGGGATTTCTTTTTAGAAAAGTCAAAATCTTCAGGAGAATAAAAGTATGTTTTTTTGATTCAAAAAACATTTTTTGATCAGCCTTTTCCTCAGAGGAGCTCACTATATATATATTAAAAAAAAAAAATCCCCAAATGGCGGGGCAATCACTTTGATATTTTCAGAGGTTGAAGTGGCCATGAGTAGAGTGCCAATGACAGCAGAGCCTGAGGAGCCTCACACATTTTAAAGGCAGCAGCGCGATTTAAACAGGGAAGAAGCGATTGCTCAGGAGCGGGACTGCTGGCCACTGTGTTGCGCAAAACAAAGAGATTTAAACTTACCCTAACTCCAAGCAGTAGCCCCCGCACAAGGTTTTTATTTGCCCACTGACTGTGTGACAGTTTCAGCTAGACTGACCTTGGACGCACTGATGATGGCTCCACGCACTAATGGAAGCCATCTTGAGTCACACTTTGATCTATACTTTGACCGGTAACTCAAAATGAAACGGCCGCTAATGGCGTGGGACAATGTCAAACATGCCATGGTTGTGTTGTTCGCAAATCTGCTACTTCTCAAACGAAAGCAGGTAGCGGGCCATTTCTTTTCCCAGGCATATGACACCGCGTCAGGACTCACCTTATAAAAATGAGCTTTGCTCTTTCAAAAGAACACAAATCCAAACCATGCTCGCCTGGGCGATATAGCCTTACAATAAAAACCATATATATAGCTAAAAAAAATGACTCTGGTCTAGATTCAAGACCTGAAGTAGGAAACTAGTGCGGGTAGCTGCTGATCGACTGGTATGAACACTTTCCATCCATATGTCCATAAATTGACAGCAAAATATAGGGCAAAGTGGAAGGTTAGGCGGACCACCGGGAAGAGAAAAAACATTTGCGGTATGTGTTTGAGTCTGTGCTCTAGCCAACCTTCTTTTACATGCCACAAATCAAAAAACAAATTTCGGCGCATATGCTCAGTATTTGCAGTCGAAACAAACGGCACCGACGGCATTCCATTCCACACACCAAGGCTAAAAATCCACAAAGCAAATAAAACCTTCTGCTGTGTTGTCCTTGTTGTGTGGTGGGATTCACCTGTGTTTGATGTAGCGTGTGCACACTGGGTGATTTAGTTTGATGGTACGTGTCTTTCGCAGGGCAAAGAGGCTAACGAACAGCCAGCAGTGGATGCGGCGGCGCGGCAGAAGAGCGCCCACTCGGCCGCTGACCTGGTCTACGCTCTCAATGACCGGCCACCATGGTACCTATGCATTCTGCTTGGATTCCAGGTAAATTCACCTCATGCTGTTTTATGTTGGCACAAGCTTCTGGAAAAGGTCGAAAAGGCTAAACACAGTGATGAACAATCACCCCGACCCTAACCACGACAGGGTGTCTTTTATTTAGAGCGGTCCCCATACACACGGTTTTGAGGTGACATACGGCTCGTGATGAACGAGCTTGCTTGGCAGTGAAAGAAGACGCGATAGTAAAACGAGGACCATCTGAAACGAACTGTGTACCATGACTGACTTCCTGAAATAAAACTGACTGACGAATGAACATACAAAGCGACAGCTCGCCCAACTTACTCCAGCGAGACCTTGGTTTACGGCGGCCCAACATAAATGGTTTGGAGGTTACAAATGCCGGCCGCTAAGCTAGTTTGCGCTGTGGCACAAAAAACAAATGTGGGTGTGAAACAAGGACTGGTGGTAATTAACTAACTGACGATTTACTAATTAATATATTATCCTACTCACTAAGTGCACAGAGTCCTCGGTTTTGGGTGATGTCACCGCCGTTGGACTCAAACTGTCTTGCCAACCTGCTAACTGAACTAAGTTAGCCGACTGGCTCATTGACTTTTCAACACAGTGACCAAGCAACTCACCATAGGGCATACTTGGTGTACGACTGTCATGAACTAAGTACTCCCTGTAATTTACACACTAAAGCAAGTAACTGACCCACTATTCGCTAATGAACCTACTTACCGAGCAACCAATCACCTAACCAGCGGGTCCTCAGTTCATGATGGTCCTGACAAACTAACTTCAGAAGTTACAAAAGGTGAGATGAACTGGTGTGCACAGTGTCGGAAGAATATGGGGACCTCCTATAAAAATTAACTGACTTACTAATTAACTGACTAAGTGACTCCTGACTAAACTCAGTTACTGACTGGCATACTAATACCAACAGATCATCCTACCGGACTGTTTAATTGTGTGTTAAAAGCTGCGTCCTTAACAAATATTTCATATTACATACAGAAAGCAACCATCTATCTCATCAGGGCAGAAGTAGATTGCAATGACAGCAATTTTTTTGTGTTTATGATGTTACACGGCTAACGGCTACTAAAAACCAAGCGTAGCAAATTCAAATGTATTTCTGTGAAGAAAAAAGTGTTGACTTTTGACACACTTGTATGCAGCTGGTGACCATGAGGCTATAATTGATTAACATTGCATAGGTGCCTACGCTGATTGATTGGATCGAAACATCCTGTAGGCATTCTTTTCACACAGAAAGCTTTTAGTAACTCTAGCTTTCTGAGCATAGCTGCGTAATGAAATAAGTGAAGACTGATGACATTCAATAAGCATTCAAGGATTCGATACAGAAAAAAAAAAACCCACACACATTTGAATAAGCGTGGTTTGTTTAAAATGGATCGGTAACAGCTACAACCGTGGCAGGCTGTCAGCCTCAAAGCTAAGTGAGAAAATACATTTTCGCGAATTATACTGCCTTTGAAACGCAGTCTGCCGAATGTCAGGAGTGTCCCGCGGCTCGCTATCACCGGCCCAGCTCTCACGGCTGAGTGCTGTGGGTGAATGACCAGAGCAGCTAGCTGTTAGCCACTAGCCGCTATCAGTCATCAGTCATCACGACTGATGACTGATGAAAATGGCTGTTCTGAGTTAGCGCGTCTACCAGTATTAGCTGGCTGGATATGTGGAGCTGACCGAAATATCACTGGATGTTGCTGAATATTTACCAACTCGGTCTGGTTTTGTCAGTAAGGCAGTCACAATTTCTCTTTGGAGTCAGCTTTCAGAGGACTCCTAGAAATGGGCAAAATGACCCGTAAAATGGGCGCTTCAAAACAGAATGAGAGACCTCCGGTGCATTTTTGGATATGGTTTCCAGAGGCTTTTTTTGGTGGCCTTATCCATGATAGACGTGTCTGTCAAAATGCATGGTATTAAACTGGTTTTGAAGGCTCAATTTTTGAAAATGGTTAATTTGCAGTCATCACTAGTAAATTGGTAAAATAACCCTAAAATGGCTGTTTCAAACCAACATGGCAGACATCCTTTGCTATTTTTTTCTTTGTTTGTTCTACCATGTCAAGCCTTCCGGGATCCCACTTTTTCATCTCTTCTGGGCCTTTCACAACCAATAACGCCAGTAAGACATCATAGGAGCGGCAATAGAGTCTGAGAAGAGGCGCCTAGTGGGGAACATTCCCTCCATCAAACTGACATCCTCTCACCGACTTGCTGTTCAGGCGTTCAAAGATATCATCATGAAATCTATATGATTTCAAGCCGAATGCCAAAGAAAATATTTGTAAAACAGGCAACGGGGGGGATCAGTCGACAGAGGTCAAAATGGAACATCAACATCCCAGCGATAGTGTTTGAATGCCGGCAGCGTGGCGTGAACACAGAGCGTTGGCAGCATCAGAGAGCTTCGAGCTTGTTATGATGATAGGAACTGGCGGTGTCTTCGTGGTATGATGACAGCTGGGCTTTCGGTTCAATCACCTGGACTTAATCAGCTGGGTTTGGGGGGAAAAAAAAGCCAGAGTCTATTTGGAATGAACCATCATCAGCGTGACCATCATCGAAAAAATTGTCATTTGTAAGAAATTGGTCAAAATTCGCCGAAAAGCAGAGCCGCGTTTCTTGCTGCCAAACGCTGAAGTATTTCATCTAAATATGATTGATGGGTAATTTCAAAACATCAGAGTAATCACTCATCAACTATCTGCTGCAAACTCACGTCCCGATGGTTACCTCCCTCTGATATCATCTGTCCATTAACAATCAGAGTTGCCAGTATGTAAAAATAAACAAATATTTTAGCAGTTGGTGGTTGTGACGATGCGAAAAAGGACGACGAAATTCATCACTGATACAAAGTGTCCCACAGTGCATCGGCATGTGCTTGCGACATCGTCGCCGTGCTTTCGAGTGACCACGTTTTCCTTTTTTTCAATCATGACATGCATAAACGTGAATGGAAGGTTCAAGTCATGTGCACATCATGAGCGAAACGAGTTGGTCATACGTGTCCTGCTGTGTCGGCTCTGTGTCAGCATTACGTCCTGGCGTTCGGCGGCATCATCGCCATCCCGCTCATCCTTGCCGAGCCGCTCTGCATCGGCAACAACAACATGGCCAAAAGCCAGCTCATCTGCACCATCTTCTTCGTGTCCGGACTCAGCACGTTGCTTCAGACGAGTATCGGCATCAGGTAAAAAATGTGATGAGATTAAATGAAATAAATGAAGAGATGTATTTTATTTGACCAGTTTTAAAGTAAAACCTTGAGGCTGATCCTCTAGATTGGAAGCCACCATTTGGACCAAATAATGATGGCTCGTACTACTCAGCACCAATCTGAATCAGGTGTTATAGTAGACAGATGGATGACACAAAATTGTCAAGATTTTCTTGCTTACGTTATGTAATGTGTGTGTGTGTGGGGGGGGGGGGTGTAAAAAGGTAGCCTGTTAAAACAGCTCCACTAACTTTGTCCTTTCCGCCCATTTTCACCATTTAGTTTTTGTTCTTTGTCGCCATCTTGTGGCACCCATTGGTAATTCCAAAGCTTTTTGGGTGGGCGGCAATTGGCAGATTTTTGCCATTTGCCAAAGGGCTTGAGCCCTTTCTCTCCTCTTGGGAATATTACATTTCGAAGTTTGCAGATATAATCCTGTATATCTGTATTACCATTTTGACTGACAATAGATGTACATTTAATGCCTAAATAAGACATTCAACTGGATTCTGCCCAGTTCAAAGCAACAACTTTCATGATACTGTGAGGGCGGTTGGCGATCCCTGATCTCAGGCAATCGTGCCTCAGTGTTTCACACACTTTAGTGAGGACGACACATGCGCAGACACACACACGCACGCACATTGCTTTTCGATGTCTCTATGTGAGGCGCAAAATGCAAATTTAGCCTCACAACCTATGATGCAAAACCGCTTATTTGGAACTTTGCAGAACACACACACACACACACACACACACATTTCATTTTTGCAAGTCAGGTTCACGCGCTCTCTCCCGCGTTGTTTATCATCGCCATAAATAAGATGTTCAATGTGTACGCAGCTTAGCGCATCGAGCTCATGTATGCATAGAACTCCTGGGAGCCATTAAGCACCACCGCGGGGGAGTGAGGCGATGACGATGATGATGGCGATGCATCCATCTTTATGAGTACGCCGCAGCCTCCCACACAATTGAGTCGTACGTGCCCCGTATTGAAAACCCTGAGCAAATAATGGAGGCTTTTGTCTGAGGCGCGAGCCCACGCAGGTCACAAGAAGCTAAAACGCAACGTGAATGCAGAGGCCGGCAAACATTTGGTCACATCTAATCCTTATTTGCTTTGCATCTTTTTTTCACGTTTGCAATGGGCTCCAAGACAAACGGCCTGTTGTGAAGTCAAGCTGGGGAAAAAGGGTACAGTTGACGCACCCTTTTTTTCCCGTAATTCATTCATCACATTTAACACGTTAAAAAAAAAAAAAAAAAAAAGCACATTTTATTGCAGTTTTCTAACCGTCTACCTTCACACCTCCAAATTTCTTCTCCAAAATTTTTGCCAATGAATGTTGCATACTTGTTTAGCAGTGTTATATTTTTCCCATGGATCAGCAAAGTACAGCCATATTATATAACCACTGTCAGTCAATACAGTTTGGCGCTCCATCCGTAAGTGCAACTTAAAACGACTACACAAAGCAAAAGCCATTTATTAACAACACTGAGAAAGGCCGCAGGCTTTGCTGTGCACGGGCTCATCCAAGCTGGATAGATGCAAAGTGGAAAAGTGCTCTGTGGTCTGACGAGCCCACAGTTCAAATTGTTTTTGGAAATTGTGGGCGTTGTGTGCTCCAGAGGAAAGGAACCATCCGGACTGCTATAGACGCAAAGTGCAAAAGCGAGCATCTGTGATGGTATGGGGCTGTGTTACTTACTGCCAGTAGTATGGGTAACTTACACATCTGTGAAGGCACCATTAATGCGCAAAAGGTACATACAGGATTTGGAGAAACATATAGCAACATCATTTCAATGGAGACCCCTGCTAATTTCAGCAAGAAAATGCCAAAACACTTTCTGCGCGTGTTACAACAGCCTGGCTTCGCGGGTACTAGACTGGCTTGTCTGCAGTCCAGACCTTGTGTGGCGCATTATGAAGCGAAAAATACGACAACGGAGACCGAGGTCTGTTGAACAGCTGAAGTTGTACATCAAGCAAGATTGGGAAAGAATTCCACCTACAAAGCATCAACAATTCGTGTCCTCAGTTTCCAAATGCTTAGTGAACGCTGTTAAAAGGTGATGTAACACGGGGGTAAACATGCCACTGTCCCAGCTTTTTTGGAATGTGTTGTAGCTATAAAATTAGATATAGGGTGAAAATGATTTGCAAATCATTGTATTCTGTTGTACTTGGAATTGCGTTGGTAGGTGTGGACAGTGAGTCTCGCGGAATCAACTTTGCATCTTGTGACAGCTGGAAGCATTGCGCCTGCGTTGTATCTGGGGTACTACGTCAAAAGCTGAAGAAATTCCTTGTCGCCGCGAGCTACCAAAGCACTTCAAAGCCTATACTATCACCTCAAAGCAAAACACATGGCACTTAGCACAGACACCGTTGCTAATGTTGGTGTACCGTGAATCAAGTTAGCGTGATCATGTGCCTCTCAGCCAAAGTGAGCTGAAGCCAGCTCACAGGCGACCCTAAAGGGGATAAGCGCTATATGGCATACAAGATTGGTATTCCAATCATATTCGATGTGTTTCTGGTGTCTACTAACAGTCATGATCTTTGACGCGCAGGCTGCCAATTCTCCAGGGCGGGACCTTCAGCTTCATCACTCCCACTCTGGCCATCCTTGCGCTGCCCAAGTGGCAGTGTCCCGCCACGCAAGAGCCTGCCATGTTGTCCGCGCACAACGCCAGCAGCCCGTTGCAGATGACGGAAAGTGGCGACGAAGTTTGGATGTCGAGAATGCGCGAGGTAAGTTCTAAAGTGGTCACACTTATTAACCCACACAACACTGTGGAGCAACCACGCTGAGTGACTTCATTGCGAGGTGCTGCTGCTTTATTGAGTTCAAATATGTTAATTCATCAAAACTGGAATTAATTCGTTTTTTGAGTACATTGTATTGTTGTTAGAGTGAAGTATCACGATTGTGGTGAATCGTATCACAATCAAAGTGAACCGTATCACCGTTGCGGTGAATCACATCACAATTGGGTCGACTTGTATTCCAATTTGGGCGTGTCCTATCTTAGTCGGAAAAACAAACATTCGCTGGACTGCAGCTCAGCAAGTAAAATGACAATTCCCAAACCAAGAAGGAGAATATTGCTGAAGAATCCGATTCCCCCTGCCGGGTATATTCAAAGGGTTTTGGGGGCATTCATTGAATGGCTGTCTGCCTGGGGAGTTCGTCTGTCATTTGTTAAAAGCATATCTGGTATTTTTGAGCCATCAATCTCAGCTCTGTCAGCACAGTATTGCAAATCAAACCCTCATCCCTGACTGAATTGTATCGCATCACGATTGGAGCGTAATCATGGAGGGAGTATCATCATTTGAATTGTAAAGGAAATGAAAGGTCTCAACCTCTCACTTGACAGATCCAAGGAGCGATCTTGGTGTCGTCGCTGGTCCAGATCACGCTGGGCTTCACCGGCCTGGTGGGCTTTGTGCTGCGATACATCGGACCGCTGGCTATCGCGCCCACCATCAATCTCATCGGTCTGTCACTGTTCACCGAGGCGGGCAAGAAGTCAGGCGGCCACTGGGGGATCGCTGCTCTGTGAGTTTGCACAGCTTATAACTGATGAATTGAAAAAATGCTCATGCGACTACGATGACCATTGTGTATGAGAACTCCCGAAAGTGTGACATTCTACGTTTAAATTTTCATTTTCCAGGAGTCTGTTCAAGACAACCTTCTCCCAGAGATTTTGTACTGCTATAATTGCGACCAAATTTGAAGCACGTGTACTTGATGCGCGTGGCTATATTTTAAAATGTTTTGAGTTTTGCGTTTCTGTTTTTACTCATCATGGGCAAAGGGTGAATGGAGGCAACTGAACTTTTTTGTTTGTTGACGATATATCTTGATCTGAAGTCAGTTCAAAATTTTTGGAGTGGCGTCTCATTTCTTATTTTTCTGATGGGCGCGTCCTTTCGGTGGTTAAAATAGGGTTGTTGCTATTGTTGCCAGGGGTGGCTGCTGAACAACTGTCCTGCATACCGAACGGTTGGCAAAACGGCTCATTAGTGGCAACTCTTCCCGTGGACTGAGACTAAAGTGACCTTTATTCAATCCGTGTGGACCACCGTGACCTAGTCGCAACTTCGCAGTGACAAATGTAGCGGGCATCTGTGCGAGTATTCTGTTCACAGACACGGCGAGCACATCAAGGATACGCTGCAGTCTCACTGTTCACAATAGCACATAGCATTACCATGAGCAGCCCTCTGTTCTAAGTCGAGACCTTGAACAGCGCCCTGGGTCTGCTTTCGACAAACGCGCTGTCTGTGGCACACATGAAAGCTTTATGCCACTATTGCAAGGACAATACATCTGCACCCTTGTGCCGCAGTGTGTTTTGATCTTCTCCGCTGACTTTGGTGTTGAAAACCTCGGGCCGGGAAGTGGGATTTGTCAGTACAAGTGGTTTTGTCACAGAGGTCTAGAGGTTACAGCTACAGACACTTATACTCACTTAACGTCGCTTCCACGGCTTGAACGAAGAAACATCTGTGTTTGCACTGAGGGCCATGTTTGAGGGAGTCTTGCGGTGCCCATGTGAACCTTCATACAATATCCAGCAGCATGGCACAAAGTAGCCTAGAAATTCGCACAGGCCAGCTCTACTAGTCAAGACTATTAATTGCTTTTTTTAAATGTAGTTTTTTTTTTTTTTTTAAACATTCGAGACGAAAAAGAGTCCAATCACATGTTTTGAAACGCAATTGACAATTTTTGATATATGTGGTTTTATAAGATTCTAACAATACAAAATGCAGTCTCACCTGGACTGACAAGTGTTTTTCGGGCAAGGATAATTAAGAGCAGAAGTGTCAAGCGTAAGAATCGATAAAGCGTCCTCTACGAACTTCAGGTCAGTGTACAGGCAGATAAAATAAATCTTGAAATGAAGACTTGAAGCCAAAGTTAAGCATTTTAAATCATGGTTACGAGACAGAGTTAGGGTTTCCCACTCGTATTTAAAATGGGGCTTTCAAGCATGGGTTAAGCTATCAAGATGAGATTTGGTTCTCAAATGAGTCTTTTTTGCAAAGTGTAAGTTGGCACTCAACCGTAGCGCTACGCTGTTGTGCGCCCACAGCACGGTGTGCCTCATCCTGCTGTTCTCGCAGTACCTGAGCAAAGTGGACGTGCCACTGATTGCGTACAAGGACAAGAAGTGGAAGGTGTTCCACTACCCTCTCTTCAAGCTCTTCTCGGTGAGTCACTGGCTTCCACGCATGAACTCCGTTGCCCTCTGCGCGCTCTGCCACACAAACGATTATGCTGTTCTATTACTGTTGAGTAACCGCTGACGCTCACACACCTGTGATGCTGGCCCAACTCCTGAAGCAATTCAAGCGTGACTCTGTGGAATGCACCCGGCCGCAGTGCATGTGTTTCTTCATGAAAATGATGCGTCGGCCCGAGTGCCAGAACGTTATCTTGGAGTCACCGAAGAGCTCTCTGATTCACTCACGCTCCGGGGGTTTAAACTTTGGGATGCAAAAAGAATCAATATAAATTCTGCTGATCTTTGAGTGTGTGCTTTAAGATGAATTACTCAAACAATAGAGGGCGTCCCGGTGTAACGGAATGAGCTTCTTTAAAGCGACAGTGAAAGAGAAGTCAACGCCCGGCCATGTCAACGTTACAGAGCACCCTTCCATTTGATTGTTTTTACAGGGCATCTTGAAAAGGATGAATTCTCCACTTCAGGAATTAGGAATTTGATTTGACCCAAAAAGTTATTGTTACTATTCCATCTAAATTACATGACAAAGTACAAGATTCTCGGAGCTGCTGATGAGCGTTCCAAGTCAGGGCTTTAAAAAGATTTTACCCGATCACGAGTTTTTGGAGTCAATCGGCGATCGGCCATCACTGAGCTTGAAAAAAAAAGTGATACGTGATCAGTGATTCGATCCGAAGATGAAGCAATCTATCTCTTTAAACCATAATGAAAATGCATTTGAAAAAAATAATTTAAGTCACAAAGGCGGAACTCCCGCTTCCCAGCGCAAAGTCTTTCCGCTCGCAAGAGGCGCTACAAGGCTAAAAAAAGAATATCTTTGGGCTCACACATACAAACTATTGCAAAACAGAATGACTCCGGACTGAATGAGCTTGCGTTTGCTGTAATGTCTTATTTCGTGGATACGATCAATGATTTCATCGATGGATTGCGCAAGAATGCGATTTCAATCCTTGTGATCATATCAGTATAAAAGTCTAGTTTTGAGCAAATGTTAGGGGTTTAAAACGTGGGTCTGACTGATCTGCAACAGATGTCATACAATACCACAACTACAAGAAGTCAGACCTTCATAAAATCCTCATGTGAACGAAAAGTTTCACACTTGTTTCACCATCCCAAGAAAAAACACCAGGCAGGCAAACAGGCAAACAAATGCTTGATGCCAGAGCACCCTTAACTTGAATCAAAGTAGCTTTTACAGTTTGAAAAACACTTAAATGTGGCTTCCTTGAACCAGAGCATCCCCTGATGCCTCCGCGTTATCTCCCCCGTATAATCCAAAACATAGCGCAGCACGTCCTCATCATGTCAACGGACCAAATCCAGGCAGTCCAAATAAAATATTCCAAAGAATTTTCCTTTGGCTTCATCCCATCTGTATCTGATAGCGGCGTTCCTACACTTGGTGTGTCGTAATTTCCCTGACGTGAAATTTTTGCCTGCTTAAACTCCAGGCCTTGTTCGGAATGTGTGGCGGCTGGCTGGTCTGCTTCTTGCTGACCGTCTTTGAGGTGCTGCCGTCCAAGCCGGACAAATACGGTTACTCGGCGAGGACCGACATTAGCCTGGATGCAGTCGCCAACTCACCTTGGTTTCACATTCCCTACCCAGGTAACCCCCGAAAACAACCACGTAGCATTAGCATGTTTGGCTGATACCGTACAGACTCACGCTAATATTTCCTGTCATGTGCTTTGAGATGGGGGACCATGACCGCTTTTGGGCTTTCAAAAACAAAAAGAGACCGCCATTTATACATACATCCACTCCATTTTAAAGCCAAGGTGGGGTTTCCAAGGCAAGGTGAGGGTTTCGATTTAAGATTTCAAGTCTGTCTTTGGGTTTTGAACGAGGGTTAGGTTTTCAGATGTGTATCGATTACGTAGATAGATAAGTGAAACTCACCGTTCCAGTAGTCTCCACAATGAAAACAGATTCAACTCAACACAGAACACATTGTGAATAGTCATATAGTCGACAGAATTTCTTCTTCTTTTTAATAATCAATGAAATCTTTCACAGTGTTCCGGACTCTTGTTTCTTGTACAAGTAGTGCGGTCCATTTTTGCCTCCATTGCTTGAAGATGCTAATGCTAATAAAAAATACAATTGTATGCAATCCCTCGTATTGTGGATGATAAAAAGTACACATTTCCATGTGACACACGGAAATGGATTTGCACTGCCCTTGCTCTTATCTGTTTTTCGGAATCAGAATCATCTTCATTGGCCAGGTATGTGGAAAACACAAGGAATTTAACTCCGGTAGTACAGGCTACACTAGTAGTGCAAAAAAAAAAGCAACTGCGATAAACAAGGACATGACATAAGTATCGAAAGACTTTGTGTAATGTAAGGATACCCTTGTACAGTAGTGGCACCCAATGACAGCTGTACGACAAAGTGCAGAGTCATCGGGCACAGATCAAGTGATCAATGGTGCAATCCCACACTATGACGGCTGTGCAGTTGGTGCAGATAATCTTTGCACCATTTTTCAAGTGACCAGTAGCAGTAACTGTAGTACAACTTTAGGTGTGCGATGATACAGAAAGTCTTTAACCACTTTAAAGTGTCTGGTGCTGTGGAATATTGATCGACGACATTTGTTCAGGTATGTCGAGAGCTGGAGCTACAATGATCAGCGCGGTAATACTGTTCCACGGGGGTGTGCAAAAATGCAAACAGCCACTATAGACTTGGGTTACTGTTTAGGGAGTTAACGGCGAGAAGGAAGAAGCTGTTTGAATTTCTGTTGGTTTTGGTGGCATGGTTCGAGAGGGCTTCCCTGGAGGGAGCCATTTTAAAGGCTCTTTTCAAGCTTCCTATAGCACCGTGACTCACTAAAGTGCCTGGCGTGTATAAGTGCCAAGATTAAACACATGCGCTGGCACAATTACAATGATCAACCCAAGTTCCTGGAAGACCTTTACCGGAGACAATTATAAATGTTTAGCGGACACGCAAGCTACGGTATGCCTTTACAAACATGTGGGCCATGGACACCAAGGAGAGATTATGGATCCCCCGCCCCCATAATTTCAAAGCGCTCCCAGATGCCTTCATAAAATGTTCTGTTGTCTTCTTCAAAACACCCCAAGGATTAAGAATTATTGTACTCGACCAATGGCAAGTCCGGCTTTCATTACCGTTAACGCTCTGGGTAAAGTTAGGAGTGGCTGCACCATGAGCCTCGACACTTAAAAATGCAGCTGCAGACTGCACAACATGTGCAAGCCCCGACAAAGACCGCAGGCATTTTAGTTTCCTTTGTGGAAGCAGCACTTCACCTAGCGGTTGAATTACACGTGTCAATCAAGGTGGGGAAACAGGCCTTGTGTGTACAACACTCGACCAAAGAGTTGTCTCAGGAGATTAGACAGGAAATTACAAAAGGTGAAAAAAGGTAAAGGCGACTTTTACTGTTACTCAACCAGTTCTTTGACAGCATCTTGTGGCATGTTAGTGCATTACTTAAAGAGCATAACAATCAGCAAATGGACAAAAATTGCTGTTTTGTTTGGTTTTTTTTTTACATTGGACACAACATTCCAATTTCACTGGAATTTGGTTTGCAGATGCAAGTTGCCAACCCGGCAAGAGCCAGATTGATATGTGAATCACTCAAAGGAGTTCTCCAGAGTATCCATCCGGGTCTGCTCCAATTAGGAACTGCCCGGGAAAGGCGGGACATGCAACACTTGCGGCAGCTTGTCCTCGCCGACCAAACTTTTGCTTTTTGTTTTGACCAAGCCCGGCAATGGATGAAAACGTCGTGGCATCATGGTGTTGAGTGAGTTTTTGCAATGTACACATACGGATAAAGGGCCTCTTAAATAACACACCATCAGATTTTTTAATAAAGCCAATTATTGAAGCGAGAAAAGTCACAGTCGCATATCCCGCCCCCAAACACATTGATGCTTTGTGATTGGTCCACACAACCAGCGTAAATCAGCGGGCTCGAGACTAGATGGATTAACCTTTTTTTTTGTAAACTCAAATACAGCAAGAATTTAAGAAAGATTTGCAAGTTGCAGCAATGTAATTGTTCTTTGCTTTTATTTGACGTGTGAAGGGTATGAAATCAATTTAACTTAAAAATTCAAATTTATTTTTTATTGGAGATTTTATTTTAACGTGGTATCGCCCAGCCTGAGTACAAGCAAGTCTAGTTTGTGGAGTGAGGACACATTTGATCGGTCGCTACTTTACTATGACATAAGCACAGCAAATAGGGTAGTCGAGCCTCTGGAGTGACAAGGCAAACTTTTGACAAAATCCAGAAGCAGTCGCACGAGGTCACACATAAGGAACTCACTTAGCCTGAAACATGACGCAGGGAGTCTGGAAAATATCGGACGGCTTTAGTAGGGATGATTTAGATGACAACTACTAAAGTAGTGACTACTTGCTGCTGGCAAAGGCTCACATTTTTGCAGGCATCTTACTTTATTCATAGTTACTCAATAAGAAAGCAAGCCTGTCTGGGATTGATCAAGTGTATCGGAGACCCGTGTTCGATACTTGTGGCGCAGGGCTCCTTTGAGGAATTTCCCACGGAGGAAAGTGCAGAAACAGAACACAGCTTTTTTCTCAGTGATTTCACTCAGTTAACAAAAAACAGGGCCTTTCACATGAACAGAATCTGATTTTGCGAAGGAAAAACCACAACAAATCATATAAATGTTCCAAAAAACATTTATAATCTCAAAGGATTTCCACTGAAGCTGAAAGACATCTTATGTGGCAGAACAAAAGCATGATTTTGTTTCTTATAGATAGATAGATAGATAGATAGATAGATAGATAGATAGATAGATAGATAGATAGATAGATAGATATCCTTTATTTGTCCCACACTGGGGAAATTTACAACACTGATGTTGTAATGATGTTGATGTTGATGATGATTATGATGACAAAGAAAGTCCAACTGCAAGTGACTGAAAATTTCACAGCGCGTTAGCAGATCCTCAACTCTCATGTTGTGTGGCAGGTCGAATTGACCTGATTAAAACAAGTAGAATGTTATTCATTTTCAAAATCATCTATACTAAATATGCAGCTGATCACTTGTAACAACCAATAACATTTATGGTTTATCAAAGAACCAAGTGTGATTAAAAAAAAAAAGTCTAATTCAGGGGTGGGCAAAGTATGGCCTGTAGGCCACATACGGCCCACTTTATTCTATAGTCAGGCTCACCCAGCATTTAAAATTGGTTAATTAAAAAAAAAAAAAAATCATTTATTTTACTTTTCTTAATTTATTTGTCTTAGATAATTGATTATGGGATTTGCTGTAAACATAACACGTGTGAAAAATATATGGTTTACATTATATTTTCGTTATAATTACTTAACCAATTATATTTAACTGAATTATAATTCAGTTAAAAATGAGAACAACCGATTAATCATAAAAAACAACTCATTTTACATATTTTAAATTCTGTACATTCACGTTCTCCCCCAACATTGCACCCAAAATACTCGCAAAGGCCCCCGTTTTTTCAATGTGTGCTGGTTAAAAAAAATGTGTCCGATGGCACAGAGCGAGGCCGTGTTTTAATGCTCCGACCCGTACATACAGCGAGGGAGCGACAACTCTGTGTCCGTCTGTCAGACAGCACATAGAAGCCAGAACGCAGGGCATGTTAGACCCTTCCCATATAAACATAAATCAATAAATATCCACGTCTGGATGTGTACAGCCCTGAAATGATGTGGGCCATCTGTCTGTTTTAAAAACAAACTTGAGCAAAAAAGATTACAATCCCCTGGTCTGAATTAAATGGGATTTTCAATAACACACACCCTTCATTTTCCTGAAAAATTGACCCTTAATCCTGAAATCCACTTTTTGCAGGTCAGTGGGGCTTGCCAACTGTCAGTGTGTCATCGGTGCTAGGCATGATGGCGGGTGTTTTGGCATCCACCATGGAGTCGATTGGTGACTACTACGCCTGTGCCCGGCTGTCGGGCGCACCGCCACCGCCGACCCATGCCATCAACCGCGGCATCGCCGTTGAAGGCATCGGCTGTATCTTGGCTGGTTTATGGGGGACGGGCAATGGGACCACCTCCTACAGCCAGAACATCGCCGCGCTTGGCATCACCAAGGTACTGTGAAACCCTGCCCATATGCAGTTGTTACAAGTGATATGAATTCGCCTAGTTTTTAGGGAAATGGGAACAACATATAGTGAAAAATTGCAAGAAATTGCCCCTCCTAAATACGAAGGGTGTTGGGTCACTATGCGAAGGAAATAAACATGTATGCAACTCTTTATCACTTTAAAGACTTGCCACTGGTCCTCTCCAATTTCTCCTTGTAAGAACTCGAGTTTCGAACAACGCCGTTTACTGTCAACTACTCAAGCAGGGTGTTGAGAGATTCGCAAGGGACACAGCAGGGTTGCTCTTTGTTTTATCTCGAAAGATCACTAAGTTGGAGGAAGCGGCTTCAATTGTCGGCTCGTCAGCGGCAGCGTTCGCCAATAAATGTCCATCTAATATCAGATTTGCACTGGCGTGACATTTGAGATGTTGCCTAAGTGCTACAAAAGTGCACGAATGATACCCTAACCCTGACTTTAGACTCTGCTTTGAAACCTTGACCCTTGTTTCAAGGTTCAACACTCGATTGAAACCTAACCTTAAAACCAACTCGTTTAAAATTTTTGCAAATAAATAAATAAACAAAAATTACAACCCTTAGTTGAAACCCTGACTTTGATTTGAAACCGTAAACTCAGTTGAGGCCCAAGTTTCAACCCAATCTTGACACAGCAAACCAGGCTTGAAACTTTGCTTTGTAATCCCTACTATGGGTTGGAAAACCCTGACTCAGGTTTGTAACAGTTTGTTGAAGTAGGGTTTTAAACCGGAGTTGGAGTTTAAAACCCTACTTCGACAGTCTTAGCAATGATTATTCAAAACCCTACTCTCCAACCCTGACCCAGATTTTTATTGCAATTTTAAGTCGTGACCCTGACTTGAACCCTACATTTTAAACCCTGAAACCCTCACCCAGTCTTGAAAGACTCATTGGAAACCCTGTGAACCAGTCCTGAACTCCTAACTCGGGTTTAAAACCCAAATTTGACTCCCCATCTTGAAACCCTCAAGTTGCCAGTACAAGGCATGGTGTCTGTGCTGAGAGCTGTCATAAATTACAACAGCGAAGGCCATAAATGTCACTGAACTGCATTTCATGAGTTTTTATGTTTTAAGAGATGCCCAGTCTCAAAATAATGAGTACAAACAGGATGTTTTTTACAACTAATAAAAAAAAAAAAAAAAATCCCCATAACAACAATATGCATGCGTCTGCAGCCACTAAATAAAAGTACAGCGCGGTGTTACAAACCTCTTTTGTTCACTGTTCCTGAATTGAAGGGGATATGTGGTATGGCAAAGTGGTTTTCATTGGACAGCAATAAGACAACGTGTCAGTCGTTTGACAGATGATCATCCAGGGGCTGTACCCTCCTTTGTCAAAATCAACAGCAGCATGTATCAATGTACCGAAAAAAAGCTGAACGCAGCACATCTGAGGTGTTCATTACGTTTCCAATTTCTGCCTCATATGACAGTGCTGTTGACAGGATACTTCTTAACACGGAGACAAAACACTTGCCTCTAAAGCAGCTCATGTTGCTCCTCTCTACTTTCGCCTTGGAAAAATAATTCCTGCCGTTTAGTGCCAGCTCAGTCAAGTGAAGTGATGAAAGCTTTCCGAGGGACACGCCGGGATCACGTTGTACGACCGGCAATGTGTTGCTAAATGGACCAGTGAGGAGAGAGGAGGCTTGCCACAGGTTGCCTGCAATTCAGGTTCGAAGTTAGGGTAGAGGGTGAAGGGGTTCATCTTGGTATGGAGTTAGGGAGCTAAATAAAGTTGGTTCGGAATTTGATTGTGGCTTTAGTGACTGTTGGTTAGGGTCAAGAGTTAGGGAGTTATGGTTACATTTTTGTGGGGTAATGGTTTGCATTAGGAAATGAAGGGTTGGGGGTGGGTGGAGTTAGGATTGGTTTGGGTTTGGAGTCTGAGGGATCGGGTAGTTCAGGTTATTTCAAGCCTTGTTAGGTCCTGAAAACACCCGGCACTATGCTCAAATTCCAATTTAAGGATTCGAGGATCATGGGAAATGGTTCTAATCCAAGGTAACTGTGGTCAAAGCCTCATCCCTCCACTATCTGGGCCGCTGATACTCATGGGGGTCGCGGGCGTGCTGAAGCCTATCCCAGCTGGAACTCTGTGGACCTCTGTAATGTGAGGCTGACAAGCTAACGAGTCGATCAACATGCCGCTGGTCAAAGTGTACTCGTCATATTTTACTGATCCTCTTTCAACTCTAGATCCACTCTGTGAACGCAATTTATTTTGGTCAGACTGCAAATGAATGAGAATAATATTCTAAGAAATGCTAATAAATTAAAACGTTGACTATACATTTGATGGACTTGACATGTCTGCTATCTGAAGCCAAGTCCGCAGCACACTGGCCGAGACCAAATTTATGGAAGCTCTCCAAAGGCTTTGTACTTTTGGCATGGTTCTCTGATGCTGGTTTTGCCTATAATGAAAGACTCTGTTCTATCACTAACACCGCCCCCCCCCAACCCCCCACACCTTCTCCTAACTCTCCTCACCCTTGCGCTGTGCACCCTAGGTTGGCAGCAGACTGGTACTCCAGACGACCGGAATTCTCATGATTGTCCTGGGAATCTTTGGGAAGTTTGGAGCTGTCTTTATTACCATCCCGGATCCAGTTATCGGGGGCATGTTTCTCATTATGTTTGGAATGATCGCCGCCGTAGGCATATCAAACCTGCAGGTAGGCAGACGCACATTCACAGTGCAAAAAAAAAATGTTGCCATTGATTTACACACTGTCTGCATACCTGAAATAATGAGCTGGGTGATTTTATTTGGGGAGAGGCTTTCATTTTTTGGGGAATTGTGTGATAAAGGTTTGTGGTATATGGTACGTTAGATTCTAATTTTCCTCAAGTACAATTTCATCCTGGCATCCCATTGGCTAAGAGGGACTTCCACCGTATATGTCAATGTGTGTCGATAGATCGACGTGTCTATGCAGCGTCCTCGTCATTCACCCCTCGGGCCGTGAGGTGTTCCGATAGCTTTACGTAAATGTGAATCACCCAGAAAAAGTGTTCAGCAGTCGGGCGATCACTCACTATGCTGATGTTTGCCTTGGACTTTCTCGAAGGATTGTTAAAAGCCGACAAAAGCAAACATCCTTGGATCAGTTCTTGACAAAACGGCAGGCAAAAACCACTTCTGAGAGAGAATATGAACTAAAGAGGGCAAAAAACGAGGAGGACGTAGTCAAAAGTTAAATGACCATCATTTTTATTCTTTACATTATGCACAACTCTCATTTATTGTGCAATAATCGAATTGTAACATGTATTATGCTTTAGAAAACATTTATGTCTGAATTTTAGTGGGGCTTGGAACAGATTAGAGCATTTACATGGAAAACACATCTCTACTTACAAAATTTGCTAGTTAAGAAATTTCTTCCAGAAGCAATTAATTTCGTAAGTAGAGGTACCACTGTACTTATTTCACAGTGTCGACCCATGTAAAGTAGATAAATACACAAACAAATGCATAAATAAATACATTTTTGCTCCACACTATTATCTGTATCTGAACCATGTTTTTTTTTTTTTTTAACCTGATGGTACTGATCATCACTCGGCATAAGCTACCAGAATGTGCCGGTCAGGTCCATTCAGCCAATCACAGATGCAACCAGAAGACAAGCATGTTGTTTAAATTAACACAGAAATAGCTCCGTTGTTAACAAGACACACTGAATTTTGCTCAACGTGGATACGAGTTAAACGGTACTCTGGTCACACACATATTGTCACAGAGATGACGTGAACAGCCTCTTTGCATTTTATCACTTCAAGGGGAAGAAATTATTTGCAGGCATTTGGGAAGAAATTATGGGCAAGCATTGACTATTAAGCAATAAACACTGCACCCTCCCCACATCATGTGGAAATTATTTAGAGAACAAAAAGAGAAAAGACAAACAAGCTCACGAAAGACAGACATATGACTTAAAAAGAATGTACTCAACCATTTGGTTGTTTTCATGTCTCACAGCAGTATTCGCCATTCGTGTCCCGGTTCCCAGAATTCTTAGCAAGGGAGAATCTGTTTGCTTTTTCCATCCGGGAAAACCGACACAAAAATCAAGAAATCTTTCCCACGTTCTACTTTCCCCCGTCTATACCGAGCCGCGAAGCAGCATTCTGTCGGAAGCACAGAAACATATTGCTAAATGGCTCTCTTGACATGCGGGTATTGAAAGCTCATGAAAACGAAGACGAGATTTGAAAGATCCAAACTAGCCGCTTCGTGCAGACAGCACCACTTGAATAGATAAAAACAAGGACAGAAATGTGTTTTAAAACGATACTTACCGGTGATTTGTCATTCACATGGTCAAAACCGCAAAAGCTTGTGTGGGCAAAAAGTAGCGAGCATTATGTTCCTGAGTCGGGTATTTTCGATTTTATTTGATTACAGTTATTATTTTTGTTCATGTTCGCTTCCTCTTTGAACTTTTTATTTATTTATTTATTTATTTGCGATTTTTCTGTTCAAGTTGGTTCAAACGCATCACGCGGCGTGCGGGAGGCCTTGCGTTCTTGAAAAACAATTCCATTTAGTTATATTTATTCCTCAATGTTGTTCAATGCAAAAAACTTGTTTCTCTTATGTATATTTTAATTGTAAAATGTTGTGCTTTTATCTTTATTCCATCCTCGGAACATGAAAATCTAGAGAAATATCAGGGACTGAAGGGCGAACTGCAGAAAATGTGGAGGGGAAAGGCAACAGTGGCGCCAGTAGAGATCGGGGCACTGGTGGCAGATAGCCCCAAGCTGGAAGGATGGCTCTGGCAGATGTCAGGAACAACATCCGACATCGCTGTGTAGAAGAGCGCAATACTAGGAACAGCTGCAATCCCTTTACTCACCAAAATGTCTCTATTTCTTTTTAAGATTTGACTTTCTTTCTCCACGAAAGAATCCAAATTCATCTTGAGAAAAACTACTGTAAGCTTTTTTTTTTCCTTGAAAAGAAAAAAAAAGACAACTTCATCTGAGCAGGACAGGCTGATGAAATACAAACATGGAAAACAATATTCCCAAATGAAAGAAAATTGGAATCAGTATACACACAGTAAATCTCTACGAACATGCCACATATCACAGCATGATGCTAAATGGATTTCATCTGGGAAACGTTAAAAAGCAACGTATAATAGTTTGCATCTGCCAATAAAGTTGGTATACTGTAGTTCCTCTCTTTTTATGTCTTCAGTATGTGGACCTCAACTCGTCTCGTAACCTGCTCATTCTTGGCTTCTCCACGTTCAGCGGTCTTGTGTTGCCCACATGGTTTCACTCCAACCCCGGAATCATCGACACAGGTAAATACAAGTTCACAGCTCATCTTACAAGACCAGCCATGACATGGGTCTTAAAGCCCACCCCAACACGCACATTTACACTCATTCACTTCCTTTACTGTACTGCGGGAGAGTGTGTGTGTGTGTGTGTGTGGGGTCGGCCTCACAGTGCAGAGGTACAGGGTTCGATTCCGGCCTCCCTGTGTGGACTTTGCGTGTTCTCTCCGTGCCTGCGTGGCTTTTCACCAAGTACTCCGGTTTCCTCCCACATTCCAAAAACATGTGTGGCAGGTTCATGGAACACTCCCAAGGTGTGAGTGTGAGCGTGGTTGGTTGTTCGTCTATGTGTGCCCTGCGATGGGCTGGCAAACAGTTCAGGGTGTACTCCGCCGACTGCCTGAAGACAGATGGGATTGGCTCCAGCACACCTGCCACCCTCGCGAGGATAAAGCGGTTCAGAAAATGGATGGATATCACACACACACACACACACACACACACACACACACACACACACACACGGGATTGTCTGGCATCTAAACAGGCATACATTTCAGTCATTGGCAATAAATGAGCCCTTTTTTTTTTAACATTTTAATTTTTGTCTTGATGTGTTTTAAATAGTCAAATTGAATTTGTTGTGATTTTTTCATTGTTCATTTACAACTTTCACAAAAAACATGCAGGGCAGTCGCGACATTAATATTTTAAATATTTGCATTTAGATTTGCCATTTGATTGAATGTTTTAAGTTAATTTACAATATCATAAATATATTAAAAATAGTATTTGTCGAGTTTATTTAGCGGGCCATAGAAGGGGAACTCTGGAGCACACCCCACCCCAAAAAATGGTGCATGCCAAAGACTCTTGAGAGCAAAAATTCTGGAGCGAATCCTGTTACACATCAAACAATTGGTGCACACCAGACGAGTGACCAGTGGTCTGGTTTTAAGTTTGGCTCGCCTGCGTTCAGGTTGTGGTGTGTTTTCAGACGTGTTTCTTCCATGTTTGATCAATGGGCGTGTGGGCTGGCAGATTACGTACCTCCGCAGGATGGCAGCGGTCGTGCCAGTCTTTAATCTCCCATAAAACCCAAAAGGCCCTCCTAAATCCCACGGGGCCCAGATGGCAATGGCTGCTCACTCACCCTTTGAGTCCCCTGGCCCAGATTTCACGTGCCTAATTGCCTTAACGTCTGCTTTTGCCTGCTTGTTTGTTTGGGCTGAAGTGAGGATTTCAAGGAATGGATATTTGTAACTCGCTTTGTCAGCTCTGAACCGAGCAGCTCCGCCTTTAAGAGACGCCGATGGCAAGCTGTTAGGGTACTGATTCCATATCCCACATGTCCAAATGAAGAAAAATCATCTTTTTTTCCTGAAAATTTCTTCAAAAATTAATTGTCTGTTCTGTACATAGGTGCGAGGACAACGACACATTGTTAAGAAACGTGCACATTTCCACCACGACTGATGACTTAAATTTGCTCAGAGCTCGCAGGTCCGGTCCCAAAATGGGCCGTGGCTCAGTAACAGTCCAAGGACCGGTGGGTGGGGACCCCTGCGTATTAGAGCACCTGACACAGTGGCAAAGCCTGAAGTGCAATCTTTCAATGTGACACCAAGTTCACCTTTGGCGAGGCATGACAAACGTGAACGGGAAGCCGCAAATGAAAGGGGCACTAACCCTAAGATGATGATCTCTGTATCTTCTGAGGAAAGTGCTTATCTGCAGTGGGGCTGGTCTGCCGCTCTCAGGTCTAGGCCGCTTAGCTCGCCAATCCTCTTGGCGCTACCGCCCCCCTGTAATCTGCCTGTCTCAGATAAGCAATGCTTGCCGGAGGAGAGCCCTGTGGCTCGCTCCGTTGCCCCGACCGCCTGCCAGACATGTTGAGACAAGGTCCTGAACTTTTGACCGGCGTCGTGAACTTGAAGCGATGCTTCATGAGGCGCCCACATATTCACCGTTGCAGGTGAACATTGCATTCTAAGAAGTCCAATGTTCTGTTGATTTACTTTTTCAATAATTCTGGGTCTCATCCCTTATTCCCCATTAAAATGACTGCAACACTTCCACTACACTAAACCGTTTAAAACTTGTACTACTACTACTACTACTACTACTACAAGTTCTGCTCCTGCTAAGTACCTGAGCTATCACGAAAACTCCTACTTACTTCAACGAGATAATCCTTTTTTTTTTTTTTTTTAACTACAGTTACAACTACTATTTATCACAATTGCTTCTAATAGTACTTTTACAACCACTACTATTAAAAATACACACTACCACAATTCTTCTTTTACTAAAATGTTCACTAATACCAATGACAATAATAAACGGAACCGTGGGTGCTGCGGTTTTTCCTCATCGAGCCTACCGGGGCCTTTGTTTTCCTGTAATCCGTTCATTAGAGACAAGAGACAGTTTCCTGAGAACAGCCACATAATCCTCACGCCAATTAAAATAACTACCACATGTACCCCTATGTGCCGGAGGAATTAAACAGTATTTGGGAAACAAAGTTGTAAAATGGCAAAAATTTCTGGTCATGAGAATCGTCAATCTTGTCAAGAACCAAATTGGAACATTCTCGTAATGTCAAATTAACGAGGGAAGAACTAATTCTACCCTCGTTGAAGACCCACTTCACTCTGACCTCTGAGCCCTCTGTGGATGTCCATAATTTACATTGGTTACATTCCTTTTTTACAAGCGTTAAAACAGGTGTGTGTGTGTGTGTGTGTGTGTGTGTGTGTGTGTGTGTGTGTGTGTGTGTGTGTGTGTGTGTGTGTGTGTTGTCTTTTGAAGGAATCAAGGAACTAGACCAGATCATTGTGGTGCTCTTCACGACACACATGTTCATTGGCGGCTTCTTTGGTTTCATTCTGGACAACACCATTCCAGGTAAGATCAAATTATTCACAAAAGAAATCCTCAAAAATATCAATTAAGCAGCCCGCGGTGTTCCTCTTTCTCCCCCAGGCAGCGCCGAGGAGCGAGGCCTCCGCAAGTGGCAGCAGCACACGGCAAACCAGGGAAGCCAGGCCACATGTGACCAGTCGTGCTATGACATTCCCTTCTGCAACGTCATCTGGCAGCGCTTTCGCTTCTTCCGCTACTTGCCCTTCCTACCGTCATACAAGAGCAGCCAGCGGGGGACGCCGGAGGCTTCACCGTGATGGCCTCCTTTCGGTTCTCCGTATTTGACACTCAACATGAACACAACAGTTTACAAACAGTTGACACTCAACATGAACACAACAGTTTACAAACAGTGCAACAAAATGGAGGTTACTATGTTTCAGTAATACCAGAGAGAGAAAGTAAGAGATGTATTTCCGCAAATAGTGGCAAAGGTTCATGTTTTCATTTTTACTCAACCGCAGGCGGGGAAAGTGTCTTGTTAGTGGGTCACCGGTACCGTATACTGTAGTGTCGTTTATGTCAAGGGAAAATGGAATTTAAAACTCAGTCTAAATGAGTATTTTTGGAGATATGCAAAGAAATCACAAGAAAGCAGGTATAGCACGGCTGGCTACACACAATGCTGTAGAGTGAGCAGATAACAAGAGTATAGTGGACCACTCACTAATTTTTGTGAAAGAAATAGTCACCGCATTACACGAGATCCATCATTCACACTGCAGACCAGGTATAATAAATACTGTAAGAGAAAACTTCTCAGAAAACGGAAACGGAAACACACAACACTGTGGAGTAGAGTCCACTGCAACACATACTGATTATTAAAGTTTAAACCGTGATGGTTGCTAAAGACGGCTCAAAAGGTGGTGTTGGCAGGTAGCCATTGTCGACTCGATCATTGAATTCATCTGAGAGATTTTGTGTCTCGTTAAATGTTGCTGTTTTGGTTAGCAATGGAGCTCTTTTCAATGTCCTGCTTCGAAGCAAGATTCCTTACACTTAGTACTTATTTGTTTCTCCTGGCGGGAAGATGGAGGTGTATACTATGAGGAAGAGGACCACTATTTGAGGAAATATGGTAAAGCACAATTTTTTTAACAATTTAGGATAGCGTGAAAATGTCTTGAGAATGTTTGTATTTTTTTTTTTTATAAAGAGATTATTAGTTCATGTTCTTCTTAAAAGTGATTGCTTTATACTAACAACTGCATTAAATGTAGCGAAAAGTCAGCGAGTCCACACGTTTAGTATAGCAATCTAAAAATATTCCTAAATCTCTATAGATTTGCTAAATGTTCTTTTCCATTTTTCTATGCTGATGTAAACTCTATGAAACTTTGTCAATAAATGCTTTTGAAAAGATGGCATCATTTCACACTGGAAGGGCGGCTAGCAAGAACAAAACACCACCAACAAACAACAAGACCGCTTCACCTTGAAATACCAACTTGATACTTTTACCCGGGCTTTAAACACTACCCCCTTGTTTGAAACCGTACCCCAGATTTGAAAAAAGAAATACAGCTCCTTGTTGAAAACCTTATCCCTAGTCTTAACCCCTAATTTGAAACCATAACCTGAAATGCAACCCAAATTAGAAACCGTATCCCTGTCTTGAAAACCAAATAACACCAAAAGATCCTTGCACGACACTATAACCCAGTCTTAAAACATATTTAAAACCCTGAGCCCTGTAAATTGAACTCAAAATCAATAGATAATCAATAATCAAATTTGATATTCTGATTTGAAGTCCTTCCTCGCTTAAAATCCTAACCCTGGTTAAAAATCCCAAATTGTTTAAAATCTCAACCTTGTTTCAAACATGAATTACAAACCCAAAAAGAGGCTTCAAACCCTAATTTGAAAACCTAATCCTGTCTTCAATTCCTAATTTGAAACCCTAATCCTTGTTGAAAACCTTACCCTTTGCTTGTAATCCTGCACAAATTCCCAATTTGAAACCCAAACCCATTTTCAAAACATTAACCCTTGTTTGAGACTGTTGTTTAAAACCCTACCCGATGGCTACAAAGTAACCCTATATTTAGAAACCGGAACAAAGGCTTGAAACCATAAATCTGTGTGGAAAACCTCCTTTGGAACCAAACTCAATTTTAAAACCTTAACCTATGCTTCAAACCCTAATAGAAACAAGATCCCTTGAGTGAAACCACAATCCTATCTTGAATTTGAACTAATCTGAAACATGAACCTTTATTTAGAACCCCAACCAAGGCTTGAAACCCTTAATTTGAAACCATAACCTGGTTTGCAACCCGACCATGAAACCCTGACGGCTCTGGAATGTGATGGTATGCCACCAGGGGGAGCCCCATTGAAATTATGTGTTACTTGAATGTTTTGCTTCCTTTTGGATTAGTTTTGACATTTCTTGGTTCATTTGTTTGATAGGAAGCACACTTTTGTCGAAGGAAATGACATCCGCCAGATGTCTGCTTTGCCTTCATCAAATTCCCCAAAATCACATGGTACTACCTGCGCCAATAGTTAGATGCTGTTTCATCAAAATGTTGGCTACTTTCCACCGCCAAACTGTCAGGTGCACTGGGCTGGTGTCAAAGAAGAATGCTCTCAGTCCACCAGAGGCTTCTGCCAAATTTGCAAACGCAATAAATGAGGCTTGCACTAGCATGGAAATCAATTTAAAAATGTCAAGCCGTCCATTGTTTGTCTCTGTGACCTGACAATGACCACTTAAGGCTGCACCGTGCCTCTTTCACAAACCAAGCTTGGATAGGCTCCAGAGCACAAGAAGTGCTGGAGAAAATTGATGGATGAAGTATGTGCTTAGATTTAATTTAAAACAATAATTTTCAGTGTTATACCGGAGACAAATTCCTTGTGTGTTCTGCATACTTGGCCAATAAAGATGATTCTGATTCTGATTCTAATTGGGACGGCCCGGTAGTCCAGTGGTTAGCACGTCGACTTCACAGTGCAGAGGTACCGGGTTAAATTCCAGCTCCGGCCTCCCTGTGTGGAGTTTGCTCGTTCTCCTTGGGGCTGCGTGGGTTTTCTCCAGGTACTCCGGTTTCCTCCCACATTCCAAAAACATGCATGGCAGGCTGATTGATCACTCTAAATTGTCCCTAGGTGTGAGTGAGGGTGTGCATGGTTGTTCATCTCTGCGTGCCCTGCGATTGGCTGGCTACCAATTCGGGGTGTCCCCCGCCTACTTCCCGAAGACAGCTGGGTTAGGCTCCAGCACCCCCGCGACCCTAGTGAGGATGAAGCTGTTCGGAAGATGACTGAATGAATGAATGAATGAATTTTCTAATTGGGCAGCACAATGGTCGATTCATGAGCACATCCGCCTCGCAGTGCAGAGGCGCAGGGTTCAATTCCAGTGTCGGCTGTCCTGTGTGGAGTTTGCATGTTCTCCCCGTCCGTGCCTGTGTGGGTTTTCTCCAGGTACTCCGGCTTCCTCCCATGTTCCAAAAACCTGCACTGTAATTTTATGGAACACTCTAATCAGTATTTCCCAACCTTTATAGAGCCAAGGCACATATTCCCTTCGGAAAATATGTCATGGCACACCACTTAGATAAATGAGTCACAAAAAGTGGATACACAGGTTAATTGTGTAACTCGTGGAAGATCATTCTGTTCTGCCTGTTACTATAGGTGGTTGCCAAGATAAATTAATGAAAAATTTTTTTAATAGAAAATAAATCATTTTTATCCGGCCAACTGACACTGGATAATGCGGCACACTGGTTGGGAAACTGCTCTAAATTGTGCCTCGGTGTGATTGTGAGTGTAAATGTTTGTCTATGTGTGCCCTGCGATTGGCTGGCCACCAGTACCCTGCCTACTGCCTTAAGACAGCTGGGATAGGCTCCAGCACGCGATAACAAATTTACAAGTGCAAATAATACAATGTATAACGTTATTATTGAGTAATTTTCATCACTTTAGGGGAGGAGGGGATATTAAGAGCACAAGTCATTGAAAATGTGCTCTCAGCAAAAAAGTATGACTTACAAAAAGCTAATGGAAGACTATACGAACACACACCAATGCACTCACACAAGCTGACATGTGCCATATGTGATCTACCGCCCACTACGGTACAATTAGCATGATTGTTTCCAAACCCACTTAACTAATGTAACTTTTCCCTGTGTGTGTGTGTGTGTGTGTGTGTGTGTGTGTGTGTTTGTGTGTGTGTGTGGTCAAATCCCTTGAAAGGAGAAGTAATCGCAGATGCTAGGGTATCATTCAGGAAAGATGCAGACTATGGAAGACCAACAGTGTCAAAATTAAATTAATAGAAATATTTTGAATTGATGTCACTTCCTGTGTTAATTCTCAGGTTGATGCTGTTATTATGAAAAAGCAAAACGGGGAGCACAGAGTTAATCCTTTGATGCTCATGGTGATTCGAAACCTTCGCGTTTGTGGGATGACGCTAACTTGGATACAATTGTGTAATCAACGGCAAACATGTAGAGGCTATATTAATGAGCTATGGGTGTGTTGTTTTTGTATAAAATGATTAATGCCTCAAGCCATGAATACCATCAAAGAGTTAGCGTGTGATAGCATGTCCATGCAAACATTCTCATCCCATTTCTACACGCATGCTCCAAGGACGCAATGTAAGAAATATTTAGTTCCTAGAACAACAAGATCATGTTAGTGTGTAGTAGCTCCACAATGCTCTGTGCAGACAGGGAGTGAGTGACAATACATACTCGGCTGGTTGTCTTCTGTTCTTTCTTCATCAGGACACAGTATACCTTTTTATGCTGAACTCGATTTTTCTGTGTAATTCTGTGATTGGAAAATGAAGCTTCATGAACCACTTGTTATATTATTATTATTATGTATTTGCAAGATGACGCGCTTGGTTTAAAGATGAAGGCTGGTGCATTGGAAATGAAAAAAAAAAATCCACTACATCTTTAAACCAACAGAACATCTAGGAGTCAAAAATTATAAATAAGTGTTTCATGATGCTTCATTTGTCCATCATTTGTCCATCACAAAAACAGAAACAAGAAAGAACAATAGCAGTATAAAACACGATGACTATTGTATTATAAGAGTATGGTTCTATCTATAATATGTGGACTGGGAAGGCAGATTAAAAATAGAATAGGAGTGTAACCGGTGTGTGATGAGTGGCTATGCAGCATCTCAACGCGCAACGGCGCCACCTCTCCCACGCAACCACTTCCCCCACCACCTGGCCAGCACAACCGGCCACCACCAAAACCCCACCGACCCCAGGAGAGTAAGAGACCCTCACCAAGCCACTATCCATGAGACAGGGCAAAAGCATTGAGCTGGTGACCCACACCAACTGAGAAATAAAACAGGTCGGGGCACCTGAGAGGGAACCGAAGTTAGAGGCCATAGCTACATGGACCATGACATGAGCCGAATGACGGCCCAACTCCCACCCTATTATCACTCGGTCCATGGCTGGCAATCATAATCCCTGCACGGTGTCAATTCCATTCTCCTGTTTCAAAGGCATCTTTACTGACAATGAACATTGTAGTCACTCCCAAATGCTGTGTCCATGTCCATATTTGTTTCTAGGACCTATGAGTGCGGTTCAAAAAAGGTGAAAAATGGACCTGCATGGCATTTGAACAGATTTCTAAGTCGTAACTTATTTCATGAAAGTAAGAAGTCTTTCATCGAAGAACAAACATGGATGCAAATTAAATATTACGCATCCAAACAGACCCAACCATTCAAACATCAACAAAGACACACACAAAACACCCAACAAAGACCCTTTCAAAATGTTCAATGAAGAGAGTCCCTGTACTTTACCTCCAAAAAGTCCCATTCAACATGCAAATGGCAAAGTATTCCTCAAGTCTCCAAATCCTTTCACGCAATAGGCTCTTCATATTAAACTTACCTTGCGTGAAATCTGGTTGTGAGAGTCAGGACTACACTAAAACATATAGCTTCCCGACAACTCCCATTACAACCTTCAGTTATGGTACTTCATGGTTTATTCCTGTTAATTTCTAGCCTGTGAAAATCTGAGCGGTATTTAGTTCTGCCCCATATCTTACATTTTAGAACGATTCACACATGCAGTTGCTCCACAACGTTGGGTGGTTCATGTTCTGGGCAGCAAGGCCATTGTTAAGTTCCACCCTGTCTGCAGTTTTAAAGATGTTACATGATGTGGAAACGGCACCTAGAATTTGAGACACCCCACATCATAGTGTAAAAACAAATAAAAAGCAGGCTGAATGGAGTTGCAGCTTGCTCCTGTTACAAATTTCCTTGTAGATGTTGGAGTGGTTCCTACCTTGACATCTCTCTAACATCTTTATTTGGTATGCTTATGCCACTTGAAAAGTTGA